TAACTATACACGATCAATTATACGATTCTATTCCTATCTCTGATACCTAACGTTATACATGCATACTCAACTCTATCGAATCTATCGTTCTAATCTTTGTCTTTACTCGTAATTCTAATTGCAAGACACTCGTAGCGAGATAGAAGAAAAAAAAAATGATCGTTAAGCGCGTACGATCGTTCTAAATAAAATTTGGCGCGTACCTTTCAACATCCACGCGAATCGATATAGATTGTAGATAGATAAGGAGATCGTGTGCAACGAACGGCCCCGACCGTAAACAATCGAGGCCGAATCGTTCGTTTGTTCGAGCGAATGTTTAAAATTGCACGCTCGTTACCCTTATAATTGACGTTTCTATTCCTTTCTGGAGAAAAATAAGCTCATCTTTTAGATTTTCTCGGATCGTCTGTACTCGGAAGATTAATCGATCGAGCCACTCAAAGCCAACGGAGCAGTTAAATCTTGGTCGTATCGTTTGGCTACATTCTCTTGCTAGATCGCATCGCTCGTCTTCCTGTACGAATCCTACGGTTAAAGTACGATCCATGGCCGATTCACGGTCGGACAAACACTGGCCTCGAGCGGCCGATTAACTTTTATCGGAGTGCAGTTCCCTCGCTAGAATATATAAATTGTTTATTCCGTTGGAACGTCTATCTGTGAAAGTCGGGCAGGGCATTCTGTTTTCCAAATGGAAATAATCGGTTCCTGAATTGTAAACGACCAGACAGAGAAAATGGGGTGGTGATCGGTGTGTATGTTTTCTAGAAACAATTCGAGAACTAACGTTACATTGTAAGATAGAAGAAACTTTGTAAAGTACGATACTTGTTGTTAACGACGATGGCGACCCATTCAAAGACCGGCCAGTCACGCTAGTGGTGAAACAAACTATGCACATTGAATCGGAGTTTTGTACCGTGAAGCGAAACATACATACATACATACATACATACATACATACATAGATACATACATAAGTGCTGTTCGCCAGTAGATAAATATAGACGCGTGTATATATGTATTGTTGCGTTATTGCCTAACATTTACGATAGGTACGTTATTACGAAGAGAGAATCGAAGCGTTTGGCGCGAAAATATCTCCGGGTATCGATTATCTGACTTTATTATTTACAGATTGATCGATACGTCGCGTCGCATCGTTAAATTTCGTCCACGAAATCCACGAGTTGCTTGATCGTGTCTCGCGGGTATTGTCCGTGGTGCGACTTGAAAATTAACTTGAGAACTTCTCGCACGGAACCCTTCGATTAGAAACTCTCTTCTACCTTACCATCAGGAGCATCTGCCCGATGATTAGAACACGATTGTAGATTATAATATATAAATAGTCCTGTTGTAAATAGAAGATGAAGATCGCTAATTTTACGCTAATATGCCGTACCATCGACGCGAAGTCGAGGGAAAAATTTTGGCAAATCTTTGAATGCCCACGTAGATCTTACCCATCCGATTTTAATCAATTCGAACCAATCGTAAAACTTTGATAGAAATTATTTAACGGATCTAGAATAAAAAATTTTTAACCGCTTTTAAAATGTTGAAAGACTGTTGAAAACCTTAGGGTGCGACTGCTTGTTGTTATCCCATGTAATGATATTTGAAAGAAAAAATGAAATGGACCGAAAGACGGTGTTCCGACTTGTTTTTCTATTCGTTAAAAATCTTTCGCGTCTTGTCGGGTCAATATAATCGGTGCTGTCGAACGTACCATACGGTATGTATGTCCGAAAGTTGAAGGTTTTTACCTGCGAGTGCACCGTTATCATGTTGCAAAGTGAAAAGGACACCGCGTCGAACGAGACTTTGAATTATTTCTGCGAGCCTTAATATAAACCATACGAATGCGGTGTGTTCCTTTGCGTGGCAAGGAAAAGAAGCCACGTATAAAGAGGCCTTACTCTAGTTTCGACAGCGCTGCATTACACCGTAACAAGAATATCGGTTCGATCGACAAGTCTATAAGCTAGTTCGTAATTGCCGTTTTCTCGATTTCTCCTCGACGATACGTAGGTAATTACTATGTTCGCCGTTACGTTGACCGTTTCCTCGCAGGTCGTTCAGAGGCCTCGAATATTCTCGCTGTTCGATCGATTACTAAGATCCCACGGTGGACGCCAGGTCCCGTTAGCGTATAAGAAATTCTGATAGAACTTAAACCCTAGCCAAGGTTATGTACATCGACAAGTTCGATGTACGCGTAAAAGCAGAAAACGAGGAAAAAAGTGTTTACGAGATTAAGTAGGAAAAAAACCGCAAAAAGACGGAACGCTGGCCGTGCTCTTGATCAATACCTCACGAAATCTCGTTATTCTTTCCGCTCTATCTTCCACGTACTTACTTTTACGACCCCAGTCTCCTCCCTAGTCACCCTCTAGTTCCGTTTGAACCAACGCGATCAATCCGCCATCCCGCGTTGCTGTAGAAATCGTTCTAGAGCCCATACAACAACCGCTCGCCCTTGCTTTTACTCCTTCTTTCACTTTCGCTCCTCGATTCCCCCCCATTTCCGTCGAAACTTCATCGCGCCTGGACTTCCATTCCATCCGTTAACACTTACGCTATACAACGAAATGCGATTACGTTTACGTTGCGTACGGCAACGTCGTACATCTCGCTCGAGTATCGCAACAATTATTTAGCTAACCTAGACGCAGTATTAGCTAGCAAGAAAGTCGAGAACTTGTCGCGTAATCGTGTTGCCAACGATACACCTCCTTGGGGAGGCTTACCTTGCACCCGATATAATGCAGTGCTCTCGATGAGGAACGAGTGCCATAGCGAGCCGGGGCGCTTACTTTATATGCACATATAATTTACTTTTCTTCTTTGTCACCCATCAACATCGTGCACGTTTTTATTAGTAACGACAAGGACCAATAGCAGATGCGGGATTTTACTTTGATTCGTCGTTTCATTATTGCAATAAAATTCTTTGTTCAAATCGACGACTGTTTCGCTTCTAATAAAACATTTTTATACCGGTATGAAAATTGTTTCAAGAAACGTTAGCACGATACGTATACTCGCAGCACAGATTCAACGAGGAACCGAGAAGGAACGGCATCCCATTATGCGAAAGTATCGATCTTTCTGCACCGTTCTTCTACTACGAGCCATAAAGCTTTATCTTCCGTCTTCTCTATACATACATGTATGTACATACGTGCGTGTTTATGTACACGCGCGCATGTACACGTCTATGTATATAACGCATACAAACAAACATACATACATACGTACACGTATGTATACTATAATTCCTGTTGTACAGAATAAGAAAGGACCGAAAACGTCCGTTGTAAAATTATTGTAACATGTTAAGCCGTTTATGCCTACGCTCATTATTATTGGCATTATTATACTGTCGATTCGTTGTTCGTCATTTGCGTTGTCAAGATCGCAGAGATCGAACAAATGGATAAAACTAGTGTTCAACGTGTCTTGAACGCAAACGACGAAAATCGAATAGCGCGTGTTAATTGTTGATGCACGATCTCGTTGAAAACCCCTCAAAAATAGAGTCGAGAAAAATCAGGGAGTGAAAGAGAGTGAGAGAAAGGAAGAGAGAAAGAGAGAGAAAACGCTGAAAACCGCTTGCCCTCGCAGCAACAAAATCAATAGAATAACGAACCGACGTGTTATTAAACGTTAAAAATTGATCGTTGCCGGAGAAAGTGAAAAAAATACTTTGGACTGTTTTAAGTTAAAACCTTTAACTACGTGGTTCTTAAAAAATATATCGATTGTTTCGACTGTTCGTTAATCGGTTTGTTGCTCGATCGCAAGTGGCTGTTTCGGTGACCCGTTTCAGAAAAACATTACGAGCGACCGACTAAGAATCAATTAATTGTAATTGAGTCGAAAGTGCAAAATATACAGACATTAAATGTTATTTACACCGCTGCGAGCAGTTTATTTCAAACGCGTGCCTAATTTCCCTATACACCCGCCCTGCACAACTACAAATTACTGTATCGATCATTGCACCACAGACCTGCTGGATGAATACAAAAAAAGAAAAAGAAAAATTTACGAACAGAATTTAAACATATCCCGAAAAGTGTATCGACGCGACTACTTAGCAACATGGTTGACGTTACCGTTAGCCTTGGCAGGAGCTGGTCGGCTTCAGCAGGTATTATTTCATCGCAGAACACGCTCTACGGTAAATAAAAGGAAAACCGGACGAATAATGACGCTCTTTTATCGTTAAGTAGTTTCCTGTGTTAGACGTGCAACGACCTAGATATCGCCCGTTTGATCTATTTTAACGGTTACAAAATACATTACTCGTTTTCCTTTCTTTCTTCTCTTTTCGTTTCGTCTTTACCGAGAATTCGTCCGAAAAGTGTGTCGCGGGAGATCATACGAAACGATAAATCCCTCTCGCGATAAGTTATTGCAAAATAAATAAAAAGATAAAGAGGTTTCCAAAAATATGTAGTCAACGCGCGCGGAAAATCGATTGCTCGCCAGGGCAACATTTTCCTCTTTTCTTCTCGAGAATCGAACGATAACAACCGATACTGATCGCTGCAAATGTTGACAGCTCAGTTTCCGAATGGACGCGGAGGATCCTTCTGCCAGAGTGGACGTAACTAAAGTAGGTACTTATTTACGTATCAAAAACGCGATTAGCCCAACACGATTGGCCGTCCGAAGTGAAGCAAAGTACCTTTGAAAATGGTCTCCGAGGTAAGCGGCTGAAAATCTCGCGCAAGAATAAAATCATCGTTCGGGACGATTGTTAAACACGACTGTCCACGTACCAACGAGATTACAAAACCATTCTGTTCTCGATCAACGTAAACAATGACGCGGTTTCGATGCTCCGAGGACAAGGAATAGGCGCGATAAGGGCACACGGGAATAATCGCGATAGCGAAGATAAAGCGATAACCTGATTTCTGCCAAAAATATATATAACAGGATCAAATCGCAGGTGTCCGGCAAGTTTCGGTGAAATCGCCAATATGACTCTGCTCCGTAAGTGTTTGCCACTCGTTCTGGGACTTCTACTCGCGGAAACAAACTGTGCAGAGTCTAGCGGCAAGGAATGGTGGGAAACCGCGCTGGTTTATCAAATCTGGCCGAGAGGATTTCAGGACACCGACGGTAACGGCGAGGGTGACTTAAAGGGTACGTTACGACCGTTCATATCCAGTTGTAAACGCGTTTTTATCGAAACTATATTTTTGAAATGGCAGAAAGGATAACTTGTGTTGCTTCGTCTTTCAAGGTATCATTAGTCGTCTCGATTATCTGAATGATCTTGGAATCGACGTGATTTGGTTAAATCCTGTTTACCCGTCGCCACTGATAGATTCTGGATACGACATTTCCAATTACACCGATATAAATCCTCTCTTTGGTAGTCTCGAGCAGTTTGATGAACTCGTAAAGGAAGCACACCACCGTGGTACGTACGTTTGCTTAATATAAAAGCACCGATATGTACATACGTGCAACAGAACTCAATATTTCAGACGTGAAAGTCATGCTGGACATAGTGCCAAATCATTCAAGCGACGTACACAAATGGTTTTTGCAATCCATCGATAATATTCATCCATACAATAACTATTACGTTTGGTCGAATGGATCTATCGACGAAAGCGATGCCAGGACACCTCCTAATAATTGGGTAAATTTCTTCTAATTTAAAAATTTTTCGAACAACGCGACGTAATTTTATCTTTTATTCAGGTGAGCACTTACAGCGACAAAGAGGGATCCGCGTGGACGTGGCACGATAAAAGGAAATTATGGTATTACCATAAGTTTCACGAATCACAACCTGATCTCAATTTAAGAAACGAAAATGTGGTACAAGAGTTACTGGTGCGGTATTACTATTACGACAAAGCTACATTTTACACTTTGATGAAAAATTAATCTATTTTCACGTCGCAGGATGTATTTAACTTTTGGTTAAAAAGAGGCGTCGATGGTTTTCGTATCAACGGAGTATCGTATTTTTTCGAAGACAAAGTCTTGAGAGACGAACCGATCGGGAAAAATGGATCCTATACATCCGGATTGCCCGAAAATACAGCTCTTCTATACACGTTTCGCTCATACATCGATAAATGGGTAGAAACAAATAAGGCAACCTCAAAGTACATGCGAAAATATTACAAATTTGATTAGAACTTTTATCCCACGTTCACGATATAATAATGTACTCGTCGAGTTACAGATTGCTTGTCGCAGAATCGTATGATTCGGATGAAACGCTGATAGCTCTTTATGGCAATAAGACGCACGCTGGAATTCCGCCCTTAAATTTCCGCTTTATCGACTGCATTCGAAACACCAGTACTGCTCAATATATTAAAACTATTCTAGACGATTGGTTCAAAATACTTCCCGCTAATGCAACCACAAATTGGGTGGTAAGAAGATATACCGTAACAATTATTTCCAATTCTATATATCCAATTTAAACGATAGACATATATTTTCTTTAATTTCAGCTTTCCAATCATGATAACTCAAGAGCAGCGTCAAGAATTGGATTAAATCGCGTTGATGGCCTTCATATGCTTAGTCTCTTATTACCTGGTCAAGCATATACTTACTATGGAGAAGAGATTGCTATGTTGGACAGAAAAATGTTATGGAACGAAACTATTGACCCTATGGGTCGTTCCAGAACAAACTTAACGTACGAAAAATATTCTAGAGATCCTGCGAGAACACCGATGCAGTGGAACTCTGACTCGTCGGCAGGATTTTCAACCAACAAAATCACGTACCTTCCCCTTAACCCAGATTACTTAGAGAGAAACGTTAAAATGCAGGAACTTCAGAAACAGAGTAACTTAAACACGTACAAATCGCTTGCTACTCTTAGGAGAGAGAAAGTTTTCACCCATGGAGACTATGAACTAACAACCTTAAATAATGATCGGGTGTTAATTTTAAAAAGGTTTGTACGAAATGTGATTAGGTTTTCGATGTATTCGGTAACTCTATACTCGGTAATTATCTAATCTAATTTTCCATCAGATTTTTTGAAAACCACCCTACATACGTTATTGTCATTAATCTAAATCTACGGCAAGAGAAAGTTAATTTAACCTCATTGTATCCAAACCTAGAGGATTCTATGGAAATTGTTATTGCTTCCAGCAATGCTGTCCACGTCACGTAAGTCCATGTTCTTTTATCAAATATAAATGATCAAACTTGTAACAACCTGTACTACACTGTTTAGATCACACATATCTGGAAACAATTTGCTACTGACTGCCAATGCTGCGTACGTATTGAAAGCCAAAGAAATAAAAGAAACCACGACTGATTCGAGTACAGAATCATCTACGGAAACGAGCACCATTTCCACGTCAAGTACAACTAAATCAGGGAAAAACACAGCAGCCGTTGCTGCTTCCACCTCGATGTTGCGATTGATAATAAATGCGTTTGCTATTATACTATTCTCCAAATTCTGAACATTTTTATAAGCAAGACTTTGTAAAATTAACGATTAGTAATCAAAATAATTATAGTATGGTAAACAAAGTATTCTTACATTAAAAATTTGTACGTGTCCTACGCAAGATTAGAACAACGCCAACATTTTAATGTAACAGCATCCCGGCTATACGCAGAAAGATTACGACATTTCGACAACAAGTGCACAACGTCGTAAATATAATTTGTTCTATATTCTTATACCTGTAAATTTTTGTATTAAAACTGCACGACTTTGGCTATCTCGTCATGATAATAAATATATGTATGAACATAGTTCAATTCGAAGGAGTTTCAATTACCTTGAGAAACATTTCCTGTCGTGAAAAATAAGCGATATATTTAAGATGCTCGAGTTACGCGGAACATTTCGTTTGGTAAAAGTTTCAATCGCGAACAGCGTTTTACGATAGATTCGAAAGGTCGCGTTGCGTATGAAAATTATCTACTGTGCGCTGACTGTTCTCTAATTAAAGCGACGGGGAATTTAAAAATACGTAAATACATGTATCGAATCGCCTCTAACGTATCTTCTGCGAGATAAGAGCGAAAGAAAAATGACAATGGGGGCGGCGAAAGCAATTTCGCCATTCAATTGGTATCTATTTCTGTCTGAATTTATCTCGTACGTATGTACAAGTTCGCCTCTATTGTCCTGCATTCTGACACCGATCATCGACAGTCAGCCTAAATTCGCGTCTCGCTTTTGTAAACACGCGTAAGTACTTATCCTCCGTCGTATCGGTTAGCAAACGAACGCGCAATGGAAAACACGATGAATCGAGGAAACCATTAGTCGGCCACTCCGATAGCAAAGAGCACAAGCAAGAAGAAAGGAAGCATGAAAAACAATGGAATCCAAAGAAACCGCTCGCCTGTTCTATGGTAAATCGATTTACGAAGCCATACAAAACACGTCCGGGTCGAAGGGGAGACAAAAGGACTCAGGTTTGATATTGTCACTATTGTATAACACAACCGCGAAAATTGCACGTTGAATAAAGCGTCGTTGATAACGGAACGAAATGTCGCGCATCTGTGCGCAATGTGTACTTGCGGACCAGATGTCCCAAATTGACAAAGATAACGATTTAAATTCGATCGATCGACGATAATTGTTACTAGTATAATGAAATAACTGTACGTTTATCTTTGACCGTAAATTGTTAAGTATATGAAACATTTGTTTTCAGAATCGGTCAACGACGAGTTTAGATACTACACTGTTGATCCAAGTTGGATGAACGTTCGCCTCTGCATATTTTGGTTTTTATGGGCCATATTGATAGTAGCATTTGTTGTATCCATTTTGTCCTACTGTTGTTTTTTGTGGCAAACGTGCACCAAGCCCGACAAATTATTTATTTTAAACGCGACAAATACAGTGAGTACTCGGAAAAATTTCAACGCAAATCTTTTTCTATTCTTTATCGATAATTTCGTATTGTACGCATACGTTTTGTGTTTCAGTGAATGTTCCAGGCGCGGTACAATACCAAATACCATGACATTTTCTATTTTGTAATCTAATGTTGCTAAATATGCCTGCAAATAAATTATCTATGCGTCCGTAAAGATAGTATATTTTCTGTGCTATCGACAAAGATACAAGATAAGCACGTAAATTCCTGCTTGCGTTAACAAAGTTACCGTTCAACGTAAATATGTATACGAAGTTAGATACGCTAATTTGTTAAAGCTAATAGAAAATAGTAATGTAAATAAAAAAAAATATCGATCGTCGCTACTAGACATATGCAGAGAACGCGATCTTAAATACGCTATGTAAATTTTATTTTAAATTGTAATTTGTACTTCTGAAAAAAAATATATGGAAAATGTGATTATAAATTTTTCTCATTTGCATCTTTGTTTTCGAGACAAACAATTTTAAATATGCGCGGGGCAAGCGTGCACTTGATTGAGAAATTTGTAAATCTGGATGCCACGTATGTAATTACTTACATATGTGTCGCCATCGTCGATTTACATGGAAAGATCGTAATATTCCAGGTTAGTATTGTTTAACTACATTCTAATATAATACTTAAAAAATTCAATCAGCATACAAATATATTTTCAAGACTTCAATACGAACAACAGGCATTTCAGTTATGAAAGAAAAAACATGTTGAACTTGTGTAATAAAATCGTTCGTATCGGGTTTTAGTTAAGTACGCGTGTACATCCTGTATGTATCTGCTATCAAAATCAATTATCTCAAAAACGAAAACTACTAATGATAAAGTTTTATTATTTTCAAACGAAAAATCACGCCCCTTTTTCTTGTACCGCGAGTTTCGAGTACACGTTTATATCTATTGAAATAAATAATAAAATACAGCTTCGATCTAATCAATGCGCACATGCCTGTATCCTGTGTGTTACTCGAATCGATTTAATTAAAATCAAAGCATTCTCGACCAGTTCTGAGCTACGATGGCACGGAACCCAGTGCAAAACAATTTCTATCGACGATCCTGTACCGTGTAGCCGTAAAATTATTAAACGTATGACACAAATGTAAGCCTCGACTGGACTGTTAAAGAGGGTTCCTTAAATACCAACCCTCGTTTCAACAGAGAATATTTTCTGGATATATTATTGTTCGGTTCTACGAGAGCTGCTTGCTTCTTACGGCGAACGAAAAATTTTAACGATACCTTTCCAACTTCTAGAGAAAGGGAACCTTTCGGAACAGGGGTCGGCCCTGATTCTATGTACTCACGCTACCTATATGGAATGGTAAAAGTAAATAGGCCAGGACAAACAGGGAACGCAGGGGTAAAACGAGTTCTTTTCATCATTCTTAAAGCTGCAGTAAGCTGGGACGTTTAGGGAACGGTTGTTCAGGAATCGTAGAAACTTCACCAATAGGGAACAGATTTTACATACGGCAAATCTCACACGTTCCCGTTGCGTAAGATCGTTAAAACACGTCCTTGGGATCTGCTTGGTGAAAGCAATGGAGAGTGGGAGGTTGGATTTAGATAATGTTGAGGCGAACGGTATCGCGAAAGAAACGGCAGTCGTTGCTACGTACAAGACACTCCCGGACGACGACGCGAACAAGCAAAGTGTAACGGAAAACAACGTTATGGGGAAACCGAATAATGAGAACGAAGCCGACGATGGGGTTAATGAAAAAATGCTCAAGGATGAGAATAAGATCTCTCCCACAAAAGATGCGACCGAGGTATGTTACTTCAACAAGTACGCTTACTTGAAAGACACGCCTTGAACGTTGCACGATCGATAGAGTCTCGTTATTTCCGCGACTAATTAAATATATTCCTGTTCTATCATTATTACTGATCTCGTTCTGTTCAACGTAATCGTTGTAATGGACAATTCCGGAGAAATTCGACAGACAAACGACTGTTTCATTATTTGTCTTCCATCGTTCTAAACCTATTAAATATACCGTGTATCGCAATGAACGTGTTCAAAAGTAATAGCTTTTTGTTGTTGCATCACCCTTCAAATTTTAGGATAAATGTGATTTATAGAACAATTAAATGGAACGTACACGATATAATAATTCGATTAATATATCGTTATTTACGGATAGGTAATATTTATTTCGGAAAATGGAGATGCCAAGATCGATATCGAGACGGTGAAGCAAGCCCTTTCGGGAATGGGCAAGGAAGAATTGATGAAATTCGCTAATGATCCATTTTGGGTTAAATTAAGATGGTTTTTATTCATTACTTTTTGGTTACTTTGGCTTGCCATGTTGGCTGGTGCCATAGCCATTGTGGTGATGGCACCGAAATGCTCAGCACCAAAACCAAAAGAATGGTGGGAGAAGAGTCCTATTGTCCAATTAGATTCTACAGAAACAAATGGTCACACCTTGAAAGAAATGGAATCGCTCTTGGATACTCTGAAAGAACAAAGTATAGATGCAATTTCTTTTCCATCGATAGTTAAAGAAAGCACAACAGGTATATAGCTACACGGTTTTCATGTATGTCTTTCCTTGTGTTCGTACAATAATAAAGATCTACGCATTCTATCTGGAATTGTAGGTGGAATAGAAGACTTCATAGATGTTAAATCAAATTTGGAAACTATAAGCGATCTGGAGAATCTTATAAAGGCTGCAAAATATAGGGATCAGCATATTATTTTAGAATTGGATCCAGGCCATACGTCGACTGAACATCCATGGTTTAAACAGTCTGTGGAAAAGAAAGATCCATTCACATACTACTACGTTTGGGCTGATGGAAAAACAACCTCTGATGGTAGACCCAGCCCACCTAACAACTGGGTTAGTTAAATTTCTTTTTGAACTGCATTACTTTGTTGTAGATAACATTTCATAATAGGTGCTATTTTTAGCTGAGTTTATATGGAGGATCGGCGTGGGAATGGAACCAACAAAGAGGACAATATTATCTTCATCAATTCAATAAAAGTCAACCTGATTTGAATTACAATAATCCAGCAGTAACTACAGAATTTGCTGTGAGCTAATTAATTTTAACTTCGTTTAACGCGTACGGCTAAAAAGGTGTTAAATTTAACACGTCGTTTTAAACGTAGGGCGTTTTGAGTCATTGGATAAAATTAGGGATTGACGGATTTCGTTTAGCCAATACACAATACTTGACCGAAGATCCAGAACTTCGCGACGAATTTAGAAGCACTATTCCTACCGAAGCGGATAATTATGATTCGTTGGTCCATGCTTATACAAGAGATCGTCCAGAGAATGGTGTAGTCTTGTCAAAATGGCAAGAAACAGTTTACAATGAAACGGACAATAAGGGGTCGGTTGTCTTTCTTTTCAACGACGATAAAAATCGTAATAAATATTGTTTTGCGTTCTGTGATAAATGTTCAAATTAAAATATTTTTATAGGTTGTTCGCTCTTCAAGATGACATCGGAGCCGATATGTTACAAGTTTATAACGAGAAAATGAAATTGATCGATATCCCGCAAAATTCACAATTCCTTACAACCGCTAATAGTAGTATAAATGCAACAACTTTACATAAAGCTATCTCGCAATGGCTCAATTTTACTTCTTGGCCTGCTTGGGACGTAAGTTTCTGTACTATTAATCGATATGTCCTTGATCATGGCATAAATGTATTTCTTGTACGATCTCTTGTATAATAATAACGTCTATTTATTTTAGCTCAACGGTAAACAGAATAACATGAGACAAAGAATGCCCGCGGATATAGCGGATAGCATAACTCTCATGACGTTACTTTTACCTGGAACTCCAATATTTAAATTGAACGACACTTTATCTGCGAGAGATGCATTTGCAACCCTATCTAAAGCGAGGCACAGTTTAACGTTCCTTTATGGAGAAACTACGCTTATGACTGTTAACGGGACCGTATTTGTGTACACAAGGTAATATAATAGAATTATAAATAATCAATTTCCTTTGTAACTTAACAATAAAAAAATAATACGCGACGAAAGCTATATACGTAGATAACGTTTAAAGTTCTTAAAAGATATAGACGTTTAATCAAAGTTATTTGTATATATTAAAGTTACATTAATTCAAATCTTAATCGCGCAAAAAATTATCTGATTCGTTCTTTGACGCTACACCTAGAGCTCAAATAACATACACCTTATACAACTCGCACAAATGTACCATGTAATTTACTAACAAAAGATTAATTTGCCCTGTTCCACGCTTCCTTCTATGCAACACAGGAGTTGGTGAGTCTTACTAACATATTGTATGAATGCATTTTTTTGTAGAAATAACTTTGGATTAATAATCATTATGTGGGGCTATCCGAAGTGCATGCATATTAATTTAATTAGTCGATTAAATCTATTATACTTTTCTATTAATTTTAAATAGGACTGGATTATATTAAAACTAATAATAAATGTATTCAGGTTAAAGAGTGGCAATCCTGGCTACTTGGTAGCGTACCAATCGGCGGAAGAACCTACTATAGTTGACTTGTCCGGGGTACCACAAATTTCGGAAGAAGTTAGCGTGGTCGCGCATAGTCCTAATTACGTACAAGATGGTGACACAATGAGGTAGGATATCGTTTCGTGATTATTAATTTTTTTTTTTCTAATTTCATAAAATAATTAAAAACAATTACTACATTAATGAAATATTTCTTTTATCGCAGAACAAAGCTGTTCTCTAATATGGTTCCTGTATCGGCTAAGAGTACAGTTGTTTTAACGTTTGTGCCAAAGAATTAATAATTGCAGCACAATGAAATATTTTACTTCTTAAGAATAATCGCTTGTTTATTATCTTCGAATAATAGCATTTATTTAATGCAGTTATGTATTACTTTTGTGAATTGCAAGCGTGTACGTATAATTAAATGTGATACAGCAAGAACATAAGATATTATCATTATCCTGTCTAATGTAAACATTTCTTTTGGACTATGCGCTGGTCAACAATTTCTACCTTTAAACTTTTATTTAAATTATTTTCTGTTAAACTATTAGAACCTACTCAAATATTCTAACAAACGATTCGTAACTCACTCTCACTCTCACGTACACACATGTATGTATATTTATTCCACGCGCTAAACCTAATATTTTTTTTTTTCTTTTCTAAGAGGGCTTTCATTTTATTAACATTACATCGGTAATGAATTTTTATAGAAATGTTTATTCAATGTGAAGTTTATGCGGATCTGTAAACCTTGCTGTAAGTACATAAAATAATGCTGGCAAAGGTACTAAAGCAAGCATTGCTGGATGAATACTAAGACCGCGAAGAGTTGCTACAGCCATTACACCATATCCATGTAAGAGCCAATGACCTAAAATAACTATTACGTTCTTCATATCTGACACAGAACTCAATAATAATGCTTTCATTGTCTGAAAAAAAGGTAATATATATTGAAATCTATGCAGACGAATTTAACTATTTAGAGTATTTACATGTAAACGTTATAGAAATAGTACCTGATTTAATTTAAATGCAAAATGTGCTGCATTAGATAAAACAGACAATGTTATTGTTATATATGGAAACGAGTAATCTATAAAAGGATTAAGAATGTTTAAGGTACATTGCTTTAATAACGTAAAGACTGTTCTACTTACATATCAAACCACCGCCAACTGCATGTAGCAGTGCTAAAATTGGATAGAAATAAAGAGCAGCGTAAATTGAAAACTTCCCTTGCTTTGGTAAAAATTTCTTAGCAATCAGTGGCCTTATCAATAACATAATTGCTGTTCCTAGAGCATAGAAAATAAAGACCATAGTGTACCTAAAAATTCAACAACTGATTCATTTTTAAGATTGGAAAATTTCCTAATTTCATAATTGTACTAGTACGAACAGAGGGTAAACTGCTTCTTGTGTACAATGCAGAGTTTCTTCATAATTAGGACTAGGATTATGCAGTAATGTATACCAGTCGGAGAGCTTTGTAGCTCTGCACGATATAATCGAAAAAGTACCTATGGGATTGGTTAATTGTAAAGTAATAAGAGATGCTGCGACAACTTCGAATAAAGCAGACACATGCAACGCGATCACTTCCTTGGGCATATTGCGCCTCATTGATACCATATCGATACAAAACCAATGTAATACTAATGCTAATAATGCCATAAATCCAAGATAGAGCCAATCGTAAAACATTGGCTCGTCTTCGCATGGCACGCACATCGAAGACAAATTTGCTCTAAATCCTCGTGGGCAAGCTCCACAATCGCTCCAATTTCCATCGAGCAACAACTCTCTTCCACAATATAGTCCAGGACATCGTGCGATCAAGTTTAAACTATTTTGTTTTAATATCGAACACATGAAGAAACGAATAAAAGAAGCGCAATGTTTATAGAAATTTTAAATACTTGTGTAAAATGTTACAACTATGAAATGCACATTTCAAAAAAACTTATTCTCATGATCAACAGATTTATACATTTTAAGGTTAACCAGCTAAAATAGTAAACAACGGTCGATTATAATTTTATGACCACACACATTCAGAGGTTACGACTTTACTCAAAAAGTATATTGTTTAAAAAGATATATTCGTTATAAAAATTAAACTGTTCAACTAGACTTGCACTGCTTCTTTTTATCGGTTCACACTGTTATTCGAATTTAGCACTCTTTGGAATCACAAGTCGTAATTTACGACTATAATTAAGACATAGACTATCCTATACCTGGTCTGTAGCAATACTCTAGACCGTCCAGCACGTTCTACCGTACGAATGGCGACTCCGTAATGGCGTCCTTCCTTGAAGTTGAACATTGTGCGCCAAATTCCTCCGATTCGAATTGGCAAACATGGCGTCTTTTCTTGAAATTGACTTGAATTCGAGGCTGCAATAGAAATAAAATACGAATTACGATCCAATACATTGAATAAATACACTTATACCACAATTAAACAACCATTAAACTCGAAATATGTTTTAAGAAATTGCAATTTATCGAGATATAATGATAATCGAGGCTGGCTAGATGTCGACGAAAAAGCGCGAAACCGAAACAACTATTTTCGCGATTACGATTAAATTTGTAGTCAAAATGAACTGATACTAAATAAAGGCACCGATAGAGAGTAATGGAGAATAATAGCAGAGATTAGAAACGTTTAAATATCGTTACGTTAATAATACGTACCTCATTATACGGCTGATTGCTGATCAGGTCTGAACACGTCTTGCCGTCGCGTCGGCAAATCAGCGAAGAGGGGGAAGCGACCTCTCTCGACTTTCGAAGGCACTGTTTGTAAATACCGTGCGGTTCAGGTTACCCTAGGTAGAAAATATGATAGTAAACGAAACACGTCTTTCGACATTTCGTAAAGATTAATTTCTCGATCGATAATGCGCTTCATAAGCAAGTTGATCGATAGAAATACTTTAGGCTGGAAATGAGACGATCTTTCCCGTTCCAATATCGCAGCGATTCTATGTTTTCTCTTGTCTTGCAATTGAAAACAACCAGATATTGTCTGTCTTTGTTGTTTTAATTGCAAAACAAGGAAAGACATAAAGTTGATCGATAGAAATACTTTAGGCTGGAAATGAGACGATCTTTCCCGTTCCAATATCGCAGCGATTCTATGTTTTCTCTTGTCTTGCAATTGAAAACAACCAGATATTGTCTGTCTTTGTTGTTTTAATTGCAAAACAAGGAAAGACATAAAATATGCAACGATATCGCACCGCTCGTCTGTTTCCAGCCTCAATCTTAGCCACAGACGATACATACCTCGTCTGTGCGCTTAACACCTCATGCCTATCATACGTTGCTCTTCCTACTGTGAACAATTAGAAATTATGTCTATTGGTTCGATAGTTTAGCCACCAGAGGCATTAGCTTACGACTAGAAAAATCTGACTGTGGTTAGACGGATTGATTGGCGATCTCCCTATTCATCTTTGATATGACTTAGCAGATTTGATTATGAGTTTTATTTCAATGTACTCGAATCAGATTGCAACTTTGCAGTATTTATAAAATATAACAGTTATATTATCATGAACCGTATAGTGATATTTGGGGCTACAGGAAATACCGGATTATGTGCTGTATCGCATGCTGTAAATAAGGGTAACGTGTTTATTTTTTATTGTTTACATAAAAGAATTCAGTTATCCAATGTTCGATAAATACCAAGTTTCATAAACAATTGAAATTAATTTTAAACATTATTATATTTGGTAATTTATTTTAAAATTTAGGATTAGATGTAAGGGTGTTTGTGAGACGTGCAATACATGTTCCTGAACATTTGAAAGATAAAGTAGAAACTATTGTTGGAGATGTTACCAATGCAGAACAAGTTTCAAATGCAATATGTAACAGAGACAGTGTGGCTGTTGCACTTGGCACGCAAAATGACTTGAGTAAGTATTATTCTAAATTGTAAAATTCTATACTTTTATATTTAATGTTTTCAGGTCCAACTACTGTGTTATCCAGAGGTATGAAAAATATAATAGATGGTATGAAACAACACAATGTAGAAGTAGTATCAGTCTGTTTATCCGGTAATTACTTTCTTTCAAAATGTGTATGAATATTTTTTTACGACTTTCTAAATAACAATATATTTTTGGTAGCATTTTTGTTCTACAAACCTGAAGCAGTACCTAGTATATTTAAAGATTTAAGCGATGACCATCAACGCATGCTCAACTTTCTTAAGGAAAGTAAACTAAAATGGATCGCAGTATTGCCGCCTCGTATCGCTGGTATCTATTATATTAAAATATACATGAAAATCAATCTTTTATAACACGACAATAAATTGTTTTTATTTTATTTTTAGACGCACCACGTTCAGAATATGTAATCAAACACGATGAATCTCCTGGTAATGTTATTTCCAAATACGACTTGGGTGCTTTCCTTATTGAAAGCCTTCAACAATCAGAACATTATCAAAAACTTTGTGGTATTGCAACTGTTTCGTAATATAACATGAAGTATGATTACATGCAAATAAAAATTATTCTATTTTTTACACTGGATAGCGCGTTAAGAAATGTATAAGGAATTAAAAATGTTCGAACGAGTATATCTTGCTTTTTTTAACCACATGGGAATAAACAAGAAGCTTAAAAGTAAGAAATTACAAATTTTATAAACTGCATTTGTACTTGTATTAAAGAATCATCGAATTTTTGAAACAGTTTGTGGTTTTAAATATCTATTGGCATAAATATGATATGTATTTTATGACGGGCACGAGAAATATACAGTATATACCTCGTGTATGAAGCAATGAACGAAAAGTAATTCTGTATTATTATTAATAGTTAAAAAAATAATTTACTAAACTAATAAATACTATACGTTTTGTGAAGCATTTCTATATGGAATATGAAAGAATCTTGTAAACGCACGCAGTTTTAAAAATTATTTTACTATTATGATGATAATTTTTTTATCATGTGCGTTCTATGAGCTATTACGCTTAAATCAAAGAACTTTGGCACTTGAAAGTTTGGCATTGGAGGAGGTGGTGGGCCAGAATATTGTGTACATTTCTCTTTAAGCTTTGCTTTAGCGAATGCTGCTGTAGAATATACAACATCATTAATTCCATATGCTTTAAATGGATCACATTGTTTATATCCATTTTTTAGGTAAAAAACTTCTTGGCCTTTAGTTATTAAACATACATTTTTAATTCCTTTCTTTGCTACATATTCTTCTGCCCCTTGCAGCAATCTAGATCCAAGTCCCTGAGATCTATATCGATAATCAATTATAACTAAAATGTAGAAAAGAAAATCAAAATCTTTTGTTCCTTTACTTTTGTTTAAATTTATTCTTTAAGTTGACCTCACCTGATTGTATGAAACAACTGTGACGCACTCTGGGTATTAATGATATCTTACAATGACCAAGTACTCTATCTTTCGTATCAATGAGTATAAGGCAAGTAGGAAATTCATCGCACGATACGTTTAGAGATTTTAACCTGTCTTGTACAAAAATAATCAGTCGATTGTAAAAAATTCTTTACTCGAGACAAGTAACATAATATACCGTGCAGATTCACTTCGTGGCCATTCAGAATTAAGTAGCGTGCAACAATTTTGAATTAAATCTTGTCGTCGATGAATGGGTATTATAACATATTCCCTGTCAATAGTTGTCATAATTTTTCTGTAACAATATATTATATTATAACGTTAGTGAACTATTCTACAATAATATTATGTGAAGCAGCCATTTTTATTATTTCAATCGCGACAGTGGAAATTTCAATGTTCACGAAAAAACTGAAATATAATCTCGTACCATCCGTGGTATATTAAGGTAAAATCATTTCGTATAACAAGGTGTAGAATGACGCGATGTTATTTTTAAATAAATGTAAATAATATCTATGCCTTTATTTGAGTAATGATATAAACATACCTAGGAAAAGTAAATCGAACGACAAAAGATTAAATGATGCATAAATCATAAGACGATAAACAATAATATCTATTCGTAAAAAACGAAGATGTGTACTTGGACATGTCTGATTGAATCCCGAATAGAGGAAGGCGTACAACAACCTGTGATTGGCAGATATCGAAAAACAGAATGTAACGCGTGCTAAAAAAAAGTAATAAATAGTTTGCAGCAGATGTTTTTACCGTATTTGTTTGTAGACAAGGGAACTTGACACGCAAGTTTAAAGGTCACTGTGCTCTTCACCTGTATGTACTCGCCCGGAAATAGCTTTCAGATTACTGTCATCTCGAGCTAGGAACGATATTTCTGTTGAATATATCCCCACTGTTATGTAAAATTTCACCACACTCAACATTATTGGGTATGACGCTTCGTCAGATTGTATTCTCAAATCTTCTCACACATCCTTTGAATTACTTCATCGTAGGCGAATATAAGTTGTTATTAATTCTCATAGAGATTGATTTTGTACCGTACTTACGAGGGATAGTCTGAAATCATATTTTCAAGTTTCATGTTTATTCAATTCCTTTCGCCCTGGGAAAATGACATATTTTACAACATTATTATATATTTCCGAGATAATTGATAAATAGTTTAGTTTCTTTTCGGACACCAAAAACATAAGCGATTCTTGCTTGATGTATGAATTTCTTTTTGTACACAATGGATCCTTTCTTTTGACTTGTCCATGACCCATTCCCTTTCGGACGCGAGTATCTTTTTTTTGCATTTGACCCATTTTTCTTAATAGCCTCTGTTCTATATGTGAACAGTGGTCTGCATTCTTTATTTCGACAGTGCTGGTCAATGACGTTACGGAATAATCTGTTAGAAATCATTGCTAGACTCTCGCCATTGCAAACTATATCAGTTACAAAGGTCTTTTAAAATTCGGATGATAATTTGGTCTTCGTTATTCACGGGGGGAAAAGAAAGTTAATGTTTATAGTCCATTGCGTGCTTCGTACATAATTTTAGTTTATCGATAGTTTGGAGTAAATTTTGTGTCTTTAAGACATTTGAGAACCACTAGCTACCGTCGAGGAACGTTTGGTTTATTTGTGTCGTTTTGCGATTCTAATTTTATAGTGTATTGTCTGTGTGCGATGAAAGTAAATAGTTGCGTTTGATCGATTCGTACGAAAATATATTCGCAATTACAAATATTAATGTTGTTTTTAATCTTTAATAGTCTAGAACAACAAACCCCATTGGCCATAACAAGCTTATTTTGTTACGTAAACAAAATATGTGCTTGAACATTTAATGTTTTAATATTTTATAAATTAAAAATGTTGCCAGGAAGACCTCCGGTGACAGGTAATATCGTACAAATTGATTTATTGAAGTCATACAAATTTATCATTAACACAATGAAGTGACTTTTACTTCGCTTAACCTCTTACTATTTATTTTTCATAATTGACAGAAAATCCTTTGGGACTCTCTTGGCATGACAGCGCATGGATTCCTGTATTAAATCCAAATAACATAATGGACTACTTCTCTGAAAGAAGTAATCCCTTTTATGATAGAACTTGCAACAATGAAATTGTTAAAATGCAACGTTTAAGTCCTGATCAATTGCAGTATGTTTTCTATAAGTTCCATTATCAAAGTATAGGTACAGCGACTCACAAGTTCATTCGCATACTTAAATTTGAACAAATTTGAGAGTTGCAGTGATTACTGAGCTTTGATATTCTAATTTCTGATATTTCCATTGTATTTTTAATTTGTTTGCTTTGTACACAATAGATAAGAATTTTGGATATATTCCAGTAAACTGTGTGGTAGATATTTTAAATTCTTATTATCATTTTATTGCATGAACTTTTGTAAAGTAAGATGAGATCTTGTAACATAATTGTTTTAGAAGAAGCATTAAATATTAAAATTTTGTAATATTAAAACAAAAAATGTGATCATATTTTTCAAATAAATGGATATTGTAACCTTGTGCGAATGAATCTTTGTTACTGTACATATAATTTAGAATTGCAAACTGATACTATCGTATGTTTAATTTCAGAAATATGACTGGGCTCGAATATATACTTTTACATGTTCAAGAACCTATTTTATATGTAATTAGAAAGCAGCATCGTCATTCTCCGATTTTAGCGGCACCGCTCGCCGATTATTATATCATTGCGGGCGTTGTGTATCAAGCACCTGATTTAGCGTCCGTCGTGAGCTCAAGATTGGTACTTTGCGATTATAAAAAGCATAGTAGCATTGGCTAAAATTATGGTTCTAATTTGTGAAACTATATTTTATAGTTATCTACAGTACACCATCTACAGTCTGGTTTTGAAGAGGCTAGTTCTTGTTCTCGATATCATCCTAGTAAAGGATACTATTGGGATTTTAAAAATGGGAAAGCCTTGGCCACGAAGAAGGAAACTCCCGTTCGCGAGGAACCCAGCTCTTTATTTCAACGCCAAAGGGTGGACATGTTACTCGCCGAACTTACGCGTAAATACCCATTATCTATCCCAAAACCAGTGAATCAAGTAACAGAGTCTTGTAAGTATTTAGTTTAGTAAAAGAAGTTAATCAAAGTAAAACTTAAATGCAAATGTTACATTCATTTGCTTGTTTTTAGCCATGGAAATTAAACAAGAAATAAAAGTTGAAAAGAAAGATATGAAACCACCGCCGGAAAAGAAGCCAAAAGTTAATTAACAAAGACTGTAATATATAATGATTTAAGTTTATGTATGTATTCCATATAATCTCTATTTTCATGGCACATTTACTTCATGAGACAAGCATTTAACATTCGAATTAATTGTATTTTTTTTTTCTGGAATATAAAAATTGTAATGTACTGGTATGTAATGTATTAGTATTAGACATAGTGTAAAATTAAAGACAAGTCATATATTTTTTATTTCACCGTTAAAGTTTTCTCATTTTTTCTTACACCATGGACAGTCAAGATCAATTTCTTCTTTTATATTTTTTTCCATTGGTTTGAACTGTTTGTTCTTGATACCTCTGTGTCTACATCGTGTTTCATCGCGAACATTGTTATTGGGACATTTAAGTGTTGAATTACAGGTAGGATTTCCATGTTTTTGAGCTTGAATATAGCGGGAACACATCGAAATAGAATTTGACGTAATCTAGAAACGTTATAACCATATTATTACAATTATCGGATAGAATTCAAAAGTATTCCGTCACAGACTTTCATATTATTTCGTACTGCGGATCGAAAACGGTGCATGACACTTGTATTATTATAAAAAATTCAAGTATTTCCTTAATAGAACTATCGGGTATAAAAATGTTACTGCTGCACTTCAAATTTTCATGAAAGTGGTTATAGAGAAAAAAAACATTTTTTTTTTTGAAATGTCAAGATACATTAGTATTTCAATTTTTTCTTTTTAGTATTTCATTTGTAATTGACTTGATTATCTAACAACAAATGTGTCTCGTTTCACACCAGAAAAATCGTATATATCTCGTAAAAAAATGATATGTGATGGAAATACATGCGACAGAGAGTATCCAGATACAGAAGTTAATGATCAGAGTCTCGAGAACGTCGAGGATGAATTTGTCGAAAGCCTAAAACACGAGAAATGCAAAATCATTCGATTGGTTCGTCAACAAATGGACAGATTTCACGATACACAAGTAAAATCGTATAACAACTAAAGTTGTCTAACGTTTCACGTTTATGTTCGTGTATTGAAGGGGAAAATTACGACTTTCTTTCTTAGTACAGTTTGCCCTCAGTGTTGGAGGAATCGAGGAGAAAGTTTAAACTGGGCCTACAAAACACTACGTACGACATCAACCAAGAACTAAACGTAAAAGAAGAAGACACAAACAATGAAGCAAACGTTACACCGCGTACATTTCAAATGACAAGTTCAACGCTAATTCGCCAAGCGAGGCTTGCACGTAGCTTAGGAAATATTCGTCGAAAAATGTTCGCTCTAATCTCAGTCGCTGGACTTGTTGCGTTAATGTTGCTCGTGTACAGTGTTTATTTTCGTGCGCACCTTTGCAACAATGGCCAGTCGTGCGTAATATCGTTTCGGTATATTCATGCCAAGCACGCGTTATTTTAAACAAAATCTTTAATTAAATTGTCGCAAGGCTGTCGCATATTTAAAACGAACGTGGCGCGTGGAAAGATCTACGTAAATTATTCGAAAATAGCGAACGGCGTCGTCGTAACTTTGGGTAATTTTTTTGTTTGTTGCGGAATAAGGAAACCGTCTAAGACTTGACACAAAATATATTAAACTTGGAATAATACACCGTGTGTAGCGTTTAGTTAGTATGCAACTAGTCGTCTTGATGATTCCTAGATCATGTCCGGTTCCATATGTTTTTTCGACGATGAGGCGTTCGACCTCTAAGCGATGTATCGCGTCGTTTCTCGTGCGATGCGCGCCAAAATTCGGCCGCAGAATCAGTTGCAATTTATTTCTTTCATGTTCACCGTTCGGCCGGCGATCAACGGTAAGATCTTTTTTAGGCTTCGAGAGATCGGTCCTTCTGATATGTTTGCTCGGGCTTCCTTAAACTCATCTTTACACGCAACTTTCTGGACCAGGTATAGAGTTGGCAATAATGATCTCCTTCATCAAGTTACGGTCAGCCTTAAAGCTAATGGGTTCCCAAGACTTTGCAGAGAATGGGTTTAACTGTAATACGAAGTAGGAAAAGGAGATGCGATAAGAAAATTTATAAATATACTAAAAATCGTGAAAACCTTACGCTGCATCTGTTGGTTTGAAGTCCTTGTTTGTGAATGTCGTACGGCGCGAAGAGCGTGTCCGGTCTCACCGGCAGAAACAATTGTGGTTCCCGTTTTATTTTTTCCTGGTCTGAAAGGGGAGTCCGCGTCATTCGACGTTCACGAGATACCACCGATGCGATAAAAAATAAAGAGTAGATTACCTTGCGGTGATTGTATGATGTCCGGTTGATTGTTAAGCGCATAATCGGTGACCTGTTTTAGCGTATACTCGACGAAGTAAGTGTGATCTCCGTGCGTAACATCGAGCATCGAGTTGTTCCTCGAATCCGGCGGTGTGATTATCGGTTGTTTCATGTAGGGTTGCACCGGGGATGTCGTACCTCTGCGTCGATACATCATCAACATCACCGAGAGCACGGTGATGCCGAGTACTATTAGACATCCGATGAGAAGCAAAATCAGTGGCAGCATGCTTACTCCACTGTCTGTAAGACGGAATGCGAGTGATCGATACGTTTAATCGAGTACTTTGCTCGAAATATTAATTACGATCGTCTAACAATTTTCAAACAGTATACTACTCGGTAATCGAGTTACCTGTATGTTTCTCCGAGTCCCTCAGCATTATGTCCTCCAGTAAACTTACTTCGCTTCGCCCTTTGGCGTTTACAGCATACGTGACTAGGTAAAAATGCGTGGCTGGGAGAAGATCCGCCACGGCTATACGAAATATCGGCACGTCCGTGGATATGCTGGACGCGTTCATCCGCAGGTTTCCAGTGAGAACTTCGTAAGCTTCCAAACGAAATTCTTGCCTCAGTCCGCCATCGTATCCCGGCACGCATTCAACCTCCAGTATCTCGGAACTTTGATTCAACGACGCCTTTATCGTGCAATTGTTCAAAGGGTTCGGTTTCACTGTAAACACGCCAAGTTGATCAGAAAATTCGTAAGCATATCGAGTAAACCGAATCACTTTGCTAGCGAAACATATCCCGATTAGTTTAACTCGTGGATACACGAGTATGCTGTGTCTCCTGTACCGATTAATACTGTTCGCAGTACCTGCAGGGATGATCTGATAGATGCAAGGAGATTCTTGCTTTCCAATCGTGTTTCTACCCCAACACGTCAAGGCACCGTAGTCTCTCTCGGACACGGGGGTGTAAACGAGCTCGCTCATCGTTCCGTTGTTGCCATCGAACTTGGCCGGCGCTACTTCGAAGTTTTCTCCGCTGTTGTTGAACTCCCACACAAATTCCACCTCGTTCGGATCGGCGTCTACTTCGCAGCGCACTTTTACGGACTCCTCCAGCGACGCACCGATTATCGACGCCTCCTTGTCCTTGCAAACCGGAGCAACTGTCATGATTCAAACAGAGGGCGAACAAACGATTACCTTACACAATCTTATTCTCCAGGTTTCATTAACGCATTAACCCTTTGACACTGGACGTCCGTATTATTTTTCTGACGCGTATCTGTTTTAAATAACAGTTTGAAACAGTATCGATCAGTGGTTGTATACATATATTGTCCATGTTCATCGAATGTTTTGCCCTGCGTCCGTCATCGTCAAGGGATTAACCGATTCTGATCGCTTACACTGTACTCGCAGTGTCACCACAGGACTCGTGGTCTCGCCGCGATCATTGCTCGCCAAACACGTATAGTTTCCCGCGTTGTCGCGACCAATCTTCTGCAGTACCAGACTCTGCGTGCTCATGATTATTCCAGCCGAGTAATTTTGCGTTAGTATCGCGTCCTACGAATCCATTAAACGGTAGTAGTATTAGTTCTTGTTATCGAATACCGCGTAGGATCGATCGTTACAGGCTACTCACGTTGTGTCTCCACGTAATCTTATGGTGTTCCGGATTAGCTCGGACCTTACATTCGAAGTAAACATCGTCACCCTGTTTTATCTTCTCCGCGTTCAGAGTACTACCCAAATGTAACTGTACTTTAGGTGGAACTACGGAAATACAACGGTAGATTATCGCAAGAACGTTAAACTTTCACCGATGCTTTATGGTACTCACAAACTACGTTTAATTGAAAGAAATCTTCCAAGTATGCATCTGACAGCGCTGGATTCTTTCCGCGACATTTCAGGATTTTTCCGTGGTCGTCCGGGATCGGTGAAAATATGAGCGTGCTTAAAACTACCGAAGCGTTGCCACCGTCTAGTACCTGAACCGTTAAAGCTTTCGTCAGTGATACTGTCCTATAGAAGTTGGCTATTGCCAACAAAGTTCTATAGGAAGAGTTATCGTTGATTACTTTGCCACTATGATAAACGGCGTTTCCTTCCATCCAACTGATTTTCGCTCGAGGATGCGATCCTGTTGTCTCACACGTGATGGAATAGTCCTTTTCCGTCTCGAGGATCGTCGGCTTCGACAGGATCTTCACCGACAATGGTTTCACTGAAACGATTAATCGTCGATACATAAACGAACGGACAAACGCTATCGAGTAATTTATACTGTTTGATACGTACGATAGACGTCCAAGAGCACGGTTTTCTCCAACGGAGATATAAGATTCGTGTTGGATGCCCGACATTTGTAACTGGTGTTACGATGTTCTCTCCTGAGCTGCGGTATCTTTAACTTACTGACGACGACGTTTCTATCGATCTCCTTCAGTCTACTGTCTACTTCTTTTTTGTTCACCAACCAGCTGACTACCGGCGTCGGTTTTCCTATGTTCGAGAGAGAATATAATAGATTGTATTTGTAACGAAAGTAACCGAGCTATGATGCATCGATGGGAATAAGGAAGAATTACCTCCTCTTACTTCGCAAGACAGTTCAAACTCTACACCGATTTGGAACGGTCCTGCGGTGCTTTCTACTTCGACCCCCGAACTGTCGTAAATTAGCAGCTGATGCGGCGGAACTGAAAATAATTTCTCTATACGATTAAAGAAAATTCTCCAAATTTTCCAATTACAGCGACGATATGGCTCTTATTGGAAAATTCTATGCTAGACGGGTCATAAAAATGATTAAACGGAACGTGAAAATTTATACCGATTACTGTGAGATTAACTTGGAAGTTCTTGGTAGGTGAATTTTTGAAATCCACTCGACATCGATAGATTCCTTCGTCGTCCAATTGAACCGCGTCCAGGGAAAGAGCGGCCGGTTTCGTCACAGTCACGAAATAAGCTCTTGGTTCCACGATGGTGCTGTTCGACCAGTTTTGAGCTTTGTTGAACGCCCTCCCCCGAACGTCGAAACTGAAACATTTCACGTCTCTTTGACATCTGTCGAACCGAATAAAATCCAACGAATTTTCCATCGAACCAAGTCTTGTTTACCTATAAATCGGTTTTACCGCATCGTCGCGAAACCAAAGCACCACGTATACGCGATCTTTGTGCGTGGACGGTTCAATGTCACAAGGCAATTTAGCGGTGTGTCCAAGAACAGCGCTCACTTCGAAAGTTGCAACTGGAAAATAAAAAGTTTGTTTCTGTTAATATTTGGGGAGAAACTGTCGCTATCTTGACTTTTTACTTCAACAATTATTGCATCGTGTGCCCTTTAGCTTTTTATTCGTTAGTTGCGAATAATATTTGTCGAAATCTGGTATAGCACGTAAGCGCGTTAGATTTTAAGTAGTGCGACCACCGTGCTAGCCAGACGCACGCGTGTCCGACCAAGTATGAGACGTATCTACTTGATACGAATATAGAGACGCGTACGATTCGGAAACTAGCGCGTCAGATACGATCGTTTAAACAATGTTGTATGTGAATGGTAAGTCGTTGGTTTCATAAATGTTATCGGCGTTTACCACGTTGAATGTCTGGGTTACGTAAAAGAGAAAATTATTCTGATATCCAGGCAAAGGAAACTGCGGACAAACGATAGTTTCCAAACGATTGAAACATTTCTATTGGTTATTCGCGAACGAAAGTTGCCCGACGCTGTCGGCTACGCATATATCTTCATTGATTCGTGTACGCCTGACTCACCCAAATAGATACGGTTTATGGTTGGTCGGACACGCGTTCTGCCAGTGCGTGCAGAAACAAAGCAAGATAGGAAACGAACGGATGTAGTTCGAAAATGGTATTTACGCGAGATAACGTACCTAAGTCATCGTCCTTGTCCCAGTTACCGGTGGCGTTCACGTATACGACCACGGCGAGTATGTAACCGCTAATGACGAGCTTGATCGCGACATCGGCGAGCACTCCTATTGCCATCCCAAAGGGGAACAGTCTGAGGGGTGAGTTCGTTAGGTTCAAATCCACTCCTCGCATAATGTCACCCCGCGCCGGCCTGTCCTGTGGATCTCCTTTATTATCATTCCACGTCGAGAGGTAGACGGCCTTCCCACCTCCTCCCACCTCCTCCCACCTCCTCCTCCGCCTCGTCCTCGTGCGATATTCTCCGAGCGTACAATACCCCGGCAAGGGGCAGGGGATAGGGCGCAGGACACGCTCACCGATTAATTCTGCTCGTAGGAGAACCCTTCGAGGAAAGTGGCGACCGCCTTCCGGTCGCAGCGTGCATCGAGGATGATCCTGTGCGAACCAGCCGATTCTCGTACAGTTCGACGACTCCGTTCCCTCTACCCTTTCCTTAATCTCGCGTCCCGTCGAGTTACGCGCAGAAAAACACGTCCATTCGGCTCCTCGGGCAGAAATGCACTACTTACATCGACGTAGGAGGCCGGAAAACACGGCTGCCCCTTAGGGTAGCTTCCCGTTTCCAGTTAGTAGGTCGTGTATAAACGTTTCTCTAAAATTATTGTCGTTTCGCGTAGCGGTAAAGGCGCCGGCTACACGTTAAGTATTATCACGCTGCGTTGTCGACAATGGCGATAACACGGAGAGGACACTGTAAAAGGTAGTTTGGTGGTTCGTCGGAACTAGCCGTTCAACGGAGCCACGCCGTAGGAAACTATCTATGGACACCGTGCTTCTTCTCCGTATCGAACGCGACCTGGTAGTCCGATGGAGCCGTCGTGAAAGTCTTCTTCGACGCTTCGATGGGTTTCGTTCCTTGCTCGTTTCTCGTTCTTTCGTCGAAGCCTCGACAGCTTCCGTTCGATCTTGCCGAAGGTGTTCAACGCATACATAGACATACACACAGAGAGCGCGCGCGCACACTCACGCCCGCTCGCTCGTACACACAGGTACACGTACGTACACGCGCGCACACATATGCACGCACATATGCACGCACACAGGGCCCGCAGAGAGACCGAGAAACCGCTTCACTGGATCACCTTCCCGCGAGCACTGCTCTCGCAGCACTTTACTCTTCGGGTCAGGTCGCCAGGAACGTTCCTCCTGTGTTTCGTACAACACGACACTCCCCTCGACATTTGGAGGGCCGTGGGAGCGAGTAAAGCCCAACGGAGAACTAGCCAGAGCGTACGTTTCACGCGAGAACCGCGCTGCCTGGAACGGACACGCTTCTGTAGGCGTCGCTAACCCGACGACCACGACCACGATGAGCTCCGATCGATTTTCGCCAAGTCAGTTTGATCTCCCTTCGTGTTTCGACGTTCTCGATTCCCGGCACGATATATAGGCCTCCAGCGGCGACAACACCGTGCTCGGCTCCGCGCAATCCACACACACGCCAACACACCAACCACCCCTTCTCGATTTACTCTTCTCCGCTCGGTGCTATTCACTGTTAGGGGTTGCGAGACGCACGCTATCGGGTTGATCGAGAACCTTTGCGCAGTTTTTCCCTAGTTTACTCTTACGGTAATCCAACGTACGGTCCCCCGCCGATGATCTTCCTTTCGAATTTAATCTAATTTCGAAAATATCCAGAGCCAATGCATTTCGATTCACCCTTCATCCCTTCGTGCTCGACGTTTTCTCCACTTTACCGGCGCGGCGAAAAAATTATTTTCTATCGGCGAACGAAAACTGTTATTATATCGATTTCGGTTCTCAAAATAGTGTTGTAGCTGTTCGTGGAATAAACTGTTTTTTTTTTTTTCGATACTATATCGGTTACGGTTACGGAACTGCAGTTTTCAGTTGCACATTAAACTTTCTTTCCGCCCAGGGTATGATTTCAAATATCTTCGATACAACTCCTCAGGATCGTATATGGTAAAATCACAAACTCTCTCCTGTTAATAATGACAGTATATTTGAAATAGTAATGTTTACAACATACAATTGCGACGTTACTACAGTTTTTTTTTTTTCTTATTTTTCGTTTAAGGTAATTGATAATGTCTCGCAAAGGTCACACGCACCACCACGTTCGATCCATCCTTGGCCATGTATTACAGTGTTTTTACCCTTTCTCTCCCTCTCTCGCGCTCTACCTCTCACTCTCCTTCGCTTTTAAAATGCACGGATTTTTGCGAGCCGGGATCACGGACTAATCGCATACTAACGCGTTGAAAAATAAACGTGGCGAAATGTACAGTAATGGATGTCCGGAGGCTGCAGTTTCTTTTTACTTTGTATCCTTTCGGGTGGATGAAGGTAGTCTGTCTGGGGGGGGTGGGGGGTAGTTATAACCGAGCAACAGGACCGGAAATTAATTTTATAGTATATTGTCATATTGGTGTGTCTGTAAGTTCTAAAACGTTCTTCGAGATGGGCGAAACCGGCCCACCGGAAATCTCGAGTCGCACGGACTACGTAAACTTCCTCTCTCCTTCCTCGTGATCTTTAGCTGATTGTTGTTCTTCTTTTTCCCCACGTCTTGCGTTCGCTTTAACAATAATCGTTAAGAACGCAACTTAGCCGCCACCATTCGAACCACGTTCTGGTTCAACTTAATTTTTCGTTTTGTTTTTCCTTGGCAACGACTACGAGTCTCCCTCCTATATTAAACGTACTGTGACCTATGGACTATGGCACTTGGTGCAACTAGTTCGGATTTTCTTGGATACTGCTTACACGTGTAAGGTACTTAATTATTATCGTTATTTATATATATATATATATATATATATATGTATATATATATATATTTATATGTATATGTATATATATATATGTATATATATGACACATGGTAATTCGTGCGTTTTATTATGATACATGCGTGCGTAAGGCGATACAGTCAATTTACTTTCGCGGTTCTTGCGTCGCGGCAAACTCGCCGATCGGTACACGACATATCCTCGAACATTTCGTTCAAGAGACGATGATTGCACGAAATCCTCCAGGAAGCCTTCAGACTTTCAGTTTCTATGTCATTCTCGAGAGAAAATCGTCTTGGATAATGAACCGATCCTGGTGATTAATTTTCTGTATAGTTTCCTTGTATGTTTGACAATGAGAAAAGGTATCACGATTGACTAAAGTTTGGAAATTCTTGAATAAGCAGACGTTCTTTAGGCGTAAGAGTCGCGACGAGTTCCTTTCGTTTCCCGCGATCAGCATCGAAAGTTTACCGATTATTTTGTTCGGCGGGGTGCGTTGCTTCCCTTCGATTGGCCGTTTATAAAGCTCCTATGAAAATAAACTTGGCTGCATCGCCTCGGATAGAACGTTGATCGATATCAGTTCCTTGTATTCGGCTTACGGGCTACGGTCTATTATACATTTTAATAATACAGTTGTCGTCGCCGCGCGAGCATTACTGTACGCGGAAAGAAGACCGTGCAGGTGCGAGTTAATATTTTTCCTTAAATTATCGTGCACGCGAGTTCTACTTCTCTTTCTTGTATCGAGAATCCTTTCGCCGCTCTGCTTTTTCTCGTCGCATCGTTCGACCGCCGCCGGGTCTCGCCTAAGAATTTAACAGTCTATACAGTCCGTCGTTTTCGCCTAAAAAAAAAAAAAAAAGAAAGTACGATTTTCCCCTATCTATAGGCCATTTGTTGTATCTTCGCCCGAAAATTATACCATTTGTTTGTTTTGTATTTTTTTTTGTGCGAAAGAACAAAAATCCCGCTCTCAATTCCAATGCAGATGTTTTCCACGCGTTTCGAGTTTCCCGTTGTTTCGCGAACGGACGGCCGTTCCAATACCGATTTCTTCAGTTTCCGTCTCCTTGCTCGCGAAAAGAAAGCGAGAAATAAACGGACAGACCCGTTCGCATTAATATTATACTTGCTGCATGCATGTCGTGCTATTAACTCCGGCCTAAATGCACATCGGCGCCGCGCGGAATGGGATTGCTTCGCTCGACCTCGATTGATACTCGTCCTGCATCCATTCTCGAGGCGTACCAATGATTCCAATCGCTGCTCTCCCTTTACTTGACGTCGCGACGACGCTATTTAGTCTTACATATCTATGTGACGCGAATGACGTGAAAAAAATTAGTTTTAAATTTAGTTTTCATACAAAAGTCGCGTCGATTATTCGTTCTTTCTTTCGTGTTTTGTTATACTTTTGGTTGCTGTTAATTCTCGTCGTCGTTTATTTATTTCGACGTTCGCATTCGTTCGTTCTATATAATGTAAAGCGTGGAAATCGAGCTTACTTCGCTAAGAAAAGGAAATCGTCTGAACGCTTTCTTGTCTATTTAGAAAAGTATCTCTTAAGGAGCAGAAATCCTTGCCCGTGTACCTATAATATCGTTTCGAACGATATATCGTTATAATTAGATGAGATATTTACGAGCGACGTATTTACAGAGTTAACTTATTGTACATTTTCACGATCGACGTTCTCGTGAAAAATAGATGTTCTCTTCTCTTTCTCCCTACAGTAGCATCTGTCCACTTTCTCCTTATCGATATACCCTTTATACTAACACCGTACCGTGTCGTTTCTTCTTCTTTTTTTTTTCTTCTCTTTTTATTTCGCGCGATCGATTATTGTAATACGCAGATCACGAGTCCGTCGCATCGGTACCGTACCGCACGTGCGTAAGACACTATTATCAGTTTATCGACAAACGCTCGGATCAATGAATACCTTCGTTCTGTACGGAAGCACTAAATGCTCTCTGCATCGAAACGCGTGATTGCTTAGGTTCAGGCAAATAGTAGACCCGAGGATACAAACACGACAAACTTATCGGATCGACTTTTTAAAACTCCCGACGAATGGTCGTATCCGCGTAATCGTCTTCTATAGCGTGATTTGCTCGTTGATCGATTCGAAAGAAATCTCGACGTTTAAACGTTCCACCAATGTTCATACACAGGGTGTCTCACCAAAAATGTTTCCACCAATTGGGACGATACAACAAATATTCGATATACAATTTAAATTTTATCGAGAGATTAATTTTATGAAACTTAAAATTAGAGATAAGTCTGTTATTATATTATATAGATAGAAAACATTCAGCATGGAACTATAAATTATTATTTAAAAATTAACAATTCTAGTTTTTTAGATCGTTTAATTATTCAAGAGACTATGTATAAACACTAGGTTATTGGTGCTACGTTTAAGCAAAGACATTTCTTTCGTGTCCACTGACGAGCGAATCACCCTATATCATATGAAAATACAATGTAAGGCGGCGTTTATGTTTTCATTCGCGGAATCGCAAACTCAACTGCTCGGTTTTCTCTCTTAAACCTTCCATCGGGTGCAACATACGCCTGAAACGTAATTGTTGTGAACGTTTATTCTACATAGTGTTTCAGAAAATGTGCACGCAAAAATAACAAAAAAAGTTCATACTTTTAACAGCACCCTTTACTAATATGTGCATATGATCGGCAATTTACAGATAACGGTAATACATTTTTACCCTTAAGCGTCAGTATCGAGAATAAGAACTTTTTTTTACACGAGCTAGCGTAAGAGTTTTCGACGGAGGACGTTGTTTCGTCGTTCGTAAGGTTGGCTTCGCGTGAAAGAACCCTTACTCTCAATGTTCTGTCTAATGGAATCTTAACTCTTGACAGTAAAACTCCGATGAACCCTAGGCGTCAGGTTGATTCCGAGTCTGTGACAATTTAAAGGACATTTGATCGCTGTTATTACTATTTCTCAGACTCGTTTTACTTCGCGGATAACAGTGAGAGTAAGTGCGATACAATTAACACATTGAGTGACGGAATATTTTGATGAAATGTAACTTGGATAATTGTTAGTAACTTCAATGTTTGCCATTTGTTCACCGGCATGTCACAAGCCAGCCAACGTGTTAAAAAGCTTACAACAAACGAACCTTAATACTTGGAAATTTTTGAACAATGTCATCGGCATTAGAAATTCTACCAAATAACAAGTATTCTATTAAACCGTCGAATATATCTATTTGTTGCCGCTATAATTTGTGTCCCTAGTCACAAGGCAGGCTTAATATCCTGTGGCAATCCGACTACTGTAATTAGAAAACGACTTTAGACACGACGAACGCTTACGTGAATTTCTCTTGTTACTTCTATACGCTAAATTCGCTCTTGAAGTTGTGCCCACATTTTATGAAACATACCTATACGAGTATGGAACGGCTAAATGTTTGTTTCGTCGCGCAGGCTCTTAACAATTTTAATACATATGTTTGTTAAGACTTTTTTTTTACTTGTTCGGCTAAGTACAACGAGTACCAAAAGCTTGCAACTTTTATTTTTTAACGCTCCTGCATGTTTTCCATCAGATATTCGTTACAAGCATTGTAATAGATTTAAATGTCTTCTCGTTGTCGATCAATGCCTCGTCCACCTTGTAAACACTGTGCACTTTCTATAACAAATAATGCGGTGAATAGATACACGTTGGAATCTTAATCGGTTCGATAAAATCGAATGTGATTCACGGTGAAAGAATAGCGACACGATGCACCCGATGGAAGCTCGACAAACAATATACCATTTAAGAAAACTGCGTACTTTACAATAATTGTTTAACGTATAATTACTTGAGCTGCTCGAAAGGTGAACTCCTGTAAACTTCATGAGAAATATTGATAATGATTGCGCATACACGCTGTCGCTCGAAAGTCTGGGCCGCCCAGTTTCCTTACTGACTATTCGTACTGCGTGCGATTCAATGTTCTGGACAAACTCTGTAGGCATTAATTAACGAAAAAAAGAGTAAGAGGAGTTGTCGTAGACACCAGACCTTAACGATCGATAACAGTGTTGAGCCAAAAGTTAATTAGAATAACGAATGAATTAACTAGCGCAATTTATGAATGACAAATGAATCAAAATTATTCATTATTTTTTTTGTGTTAATGGGCATTAAATGTTTCATTTGCATCAAAGAAAACATAATTTATTGCAATGAACTTAAAAATAATTCAAAATAAATGTACCTTCATTGGGCGACAACAAACAAATGTTTGCATTGAAAATCTGTAATAAGGGCAAAAGTAAAATGCAGCTATATCATATCATAATTAATGTAAACAATAAAAAAGACTTCTCGTACGAATAATAAATAAACAAATAACGCCCAACACTGATCGATAACACATACAGGACATAACGGAACAAAGACACGCGAAAACGTACGCCAAAAATAAAAAATTATCTAACAGCAGCTGCTCCGAGACCATAAGGACAACTTAAACTGCTAAAAATTTTGTCAAATTGTCATCGTGAGACGAGAAGCAATGTTTGATAAGTATAGAGTCACGAAGATTTAAACATTCGTAATAAATAATAATACTTAGTACCTACGTACGCGTAATACAATTATACACAATTCAAGCATTCGACTAATTCGAAATTTCTGAATTTCTTTAAGACATAACTAAATTTGAAATTGTAAAAGATACCTAGGATTTTTTTCGTTATAATTTGATTTACATTTGCCATGAAATCATACTTCGGATCAATGGTTTTCTATAATTTCGAATTTAAATGTCATTCACGTACGAATAACGTTGTTCCTTCAATGAATTTAAATTCAAACTGCATTTTATACATGGATGACGTAGCAATCATAGCGTCGACACGAATGATGCCAGACTTTTGAACGGTAGCGTACACGTTCTTGCATATATCTGTTAGATACCGTTTTATGTATACTAGAGTTTTTAGGTTTACGCTTTAAGGCCATGGCATTGTAATCTTCCTCTGTTTTAAAAGGAAATCAGTCTACGAAAACAAATAAAACCGAGTGTCGGATTATTAGTTCGCAAAAATTGTGTTTCTCCGCTTATTTACAATTAGTATAGTCTTAATCGTACGTTTCCATCTGTGAACAAGCATACCAATACATCGTATACCTACGGAGCACGATACAGTTAACAAATTTCTAAACGTGTTCTGCGACATTGCACAAACCGATACGAACATATCAATTATTTTTGCCGTACATAAGCGTAGCAAAATTCAAAAAGAAACGGTGAATCTACAAGTTCATCGAGAGATCGAAATTTTATAGGAATTATTGAATTAACCAGTTCGCACTTAATACTATCGAAACAGCGTTTCTTCATCGCGAAGAATTGAATTCCATTTGCGTTTGTGCAACGAGAATCGATCGCAGCGTAGGAATATTACGCTCATCATATTACAGCGATACACCAATAAGGATACAAAAAAAATAAAAAATAAATGTTACAATTTGTAATATATATATTTTTTAATAATAGTATAATCAATATATATATATATATATATATATATACACACATACATACATACATACATATATATATGTATATATATATAAATGGGCAAATTAATATGTACAGAATACGTTGTGGTATTAGTTTTTGCGGGTTCGTATTTCTTCTTCGTGTGCACGGTCGATTTTTTGTTTGTTAAATAATTAAACCCTTTTGTCTACCTATCTATGTTCCGCCGCAAAAACAAAACCGAATGAACTATGGCAACTAACGTAATAATGGCAAGTATTTGCTGACGAAAAGCAGAGTGAAACGCGTCTTTTTTTTTGGCGAATAGAGTACACATAGAATGAAACGGTGAGAAGAAAAGAGTGTTCCTATTTAAAATCAGGAGAAAAGAAAATTAATATTGGACTTAACAAAACTCATAATAATTTGAAAAGAAGAAAAAACGAATACACCAAAGACACTGTATAATAACGAACGAACGAAGCGAAACTCTAAAACATAATACAAATTGTAACATAATTAAATAAATGGAAACATCGTATTCTTTCTGCAGTGTACGACAACTTCAATGTATATCATGTGCGATTGTGAAGATCAAATATTCAAATGGTGGTCCAATATAATTCACGATCACTGATCGTTACTCCTTTGTAAACGAAAATTACAGAAAGATTTTGCAGTGCTGAAAACACCTCGTCGTATACGCGTGCACAATCGACACATATTTGCTTCGACTTGAAACTTTACGATATTTTGATGTTCTCCGGACAAACACTTTCTATTTTGTTGTGAACGAAGCTTATCCACAGAATGTATCGGTCAATTTTACACGGGAATTTGCAAATGTACCAATAATTATTTGGGGGGGGGAACAGAAAGAGAAACATTAGAATCGTGCCGCAGCCGACTCGTCGCCTCTTTTTTTTTCTCCTGTCCGGAAGTTTCACATTCGTGCAAAAGCTTACATTCGTTTCGTGCTATTTCTATGCACCTAGAGAAGCTGACTTGTCACAAGTTCGCCAAACTTGGGAGGCATTTGTTCGAGCAAACTGAATGGAAGCCACCAGAGAAAGTTATGATACGTAAGACTGTAAAATCACCGTTTTAGTCTAATGCGGCGGCTGCTGCGCAAGACAATGTTCGTTATAAGAATTATTCAACATGCTTTGAAACTATTAGAGGACAGAAATCACAGAAAAACGTTCGGTTCCTCCTTCAGCTTCGAAATATCGGCGAGTCTCGGCTTTGAAATATGTTTGAAAGAACCAAAAAAGAAAAAAAGAAAAAAAAAAAACCCAGGACGTAGAAAAGGTTGCAAAATCGTTCATCTTATAATTTCATTTTCTGTTAATACAATAAACATATTTAACAGTTCGTAAATAATAGTATAAAAAAAAAAAGACAAAACGATCGACAAATAAATTTTGCTAATTATAGTTACAACATAGAGAGCACGTAAATAAAATTTACTGTGGTTTTCCGCTCGATAACTTTCAGTTATCGTTTTCATTTTTTCCTCTCATTGTTTAGCGAGAAAATTTTTTCTGTAGTTCCTCTACTCCAAGTTTCAAAAAAAGGAAAAAAAAAAACGATGGGTGAATTGTTCTTCCTAACAAAAAAACAGAGCGTAAAGAGTATCACTTGAGAACGTAAAAATGTTTGCATTCCTATATGCATGCACGAGAAATGCCGTTGACGTACATCTTTATTGTTTTCAGTATGCATATAACGTATTGAATACGTTATATATAATTATACCGCGTATAATGACACTACGATGCAAAATATTACGAACCTTCGGTCGGTAGATTCAAAGGCAATTCTTGTGCATCATTACCCATTCTACCGAATGACATACAAAACATATCTACACATACAATTAATGAATGCGAAAGAGAGATTTTTTTTTGTTCGTAAAATTTTGTCGCGTAAACAAAATTTTATCGTATAATGCGATTTCGATACTTTTGTCTACTTATTTTTATACTCATCGTTTGCGTAAGTGAATGCGAGTCGCGTCTAAAATTATCGCTAACAGGCGCTTTTCTTTTCATAACAAGAGCGACACCGCTCTATAAGATACACAATTATAATAATATGATTAGATTTTACTGCTAACGTAATATTAAAAAAATTGTATTACTTTAAAAATTGGAGATTACTTTTTTTTTTTTTTAAACTGTTCCTTGGACAGTATATATTGTTTCCTTCGTTTTCCTTCTTTTTTACCTTAAACTTTTGTTTGTTTTCCTTTTATTTCTCACTGGTATAACACCAACATACATATCATGTAAATTCCTTTTAAATTTACTTTACACATTTCTTTTACTCTGTCTTATTTATTATGCACTTTTCCCCTTGGGCAATTTAGGGCCATCACTATTCACAATGCAGGTAGTAGAATTGAAGAATTGTATACATGTAGTACAAGGTACATTTACATAAAAACAATTATTAGAATCGCATAGATGTTTCTGTTCCATTTTGATTATATCCAGTTGTGAATTTTACAATATCACATTTTTTAGACATCTGTTTCAGTATGTCATTGCGGGTCTTCGTTTCGCACGTTTGTATTTTCACCTTCGAAAATTTGTACCACGATCCGACATGTTTATTACAGAAGTTGTGCTTGTTTTATTGTTCGATTGCCGCCGTTCCTGCTGGATTATCCATTCTATCTGTTTCGAGGATGAACATGTTCGGTTTTTTTTTAATAATTCCATCGATGTGAACGCGCAATGTGCATTGCAATTACGAGTGCACAATTTTGCAACATACTTCCTCGCATGCCGTACGGTGTTGAAGCTTCTGTTTGCGTAACGAGCAGCAATTTATTTAACGTTGTTGTCCATTCTGCATTTATTTAATACGATATACACAATTTACATCTGCGGTGTTGTGTTTTATCGTCAACTTAAAAATGTTTCTATCTTTTTAATCAATGTCATTGCATTGCACTAATGTATTTTCTTTTTTAATTCTTTGTTTAACAACAGTTCATTTTGCTTATTAAAGTGTCACGATGTTCACTTGCCTGTTTTATTCGACGTATACACATGCGTTACTTTAATTTCCATTTTTTTTCACACAGATTCACTGCACTTGTTTTTTTTTTTGCTTTACATATGAATTTAAAAATTAGGTAAACTTAATGAAAACGAAACTCACGCGGGAAGTTTATTACGCGTTGTTCGATCGATTAACGATTATCGCGTGGTTTTGTTTTGTTACACGTTTATTTAATTATTAGATTATGTTTATATTCGAAATTCATTTTGTCACCTGTTGAATCTTGTTCGTCGCTTTTTCGTTGCAGAGTTCTTTATTATATAATCACGGAGAAAATTCGAGTCTTAATCTTAGCAAAACTGCCTTCGACGAACAAATTTTAATCAAGAAAACAGCTTTCTTAACAATTTTTCCTTCTTCCCGATAATACTTGCGTTACATGGGATATATCTCGATCTTCGTTTATTGATTCTTGGTATCTGGGCAAACACGAACATGAATAACGAATATCCGTATGCATTAAAGTATATATCAATATAGAATACTAATTTATTAATAAAAAATATACTATCTCTTCGCGATGATGATGATGACGGTGGCGATAATGATACTGATGAGTACGAGGACAACGATGTCGATGACACGATTCGATAATACTTTCGTTTACAAAGTTATGAACGCGTCACCGCAACGACAAAAATGATCGTGATAAATTTGACCACCGCGATGAAGATGACGATGAATAATAATGCGGTGAATGGTCATATAACCATAACGATAATGATATTAATAATGATGATAATGATGATGATGACGATGACGACGATGACGATAATAATGAAATTGCCGTTCATTGGAATATGTTAACAATAACGATAGCTTTAAAAAAAATAACAATCACAATGGGGACGCGAAAGAACAAGTGTCATAATAAAGAACTCAGCAACAAATTATTCCTTGTTTGCAAAGTGTTGGACTTACAGGCTGTTTCAATGTCGTTTGATTGTTTTATTTAGTTTAGGTTAGTTCCTAGTTGACCATAAGTGTATGCGACTCCATTGGTGCTGCACTATCATACAACGTGTCTGTATCTTGTGTAGGTTCACCCTGAAGTTGACACTGATTACTTAATGTTCCAGCACCACAGTCACAAAAGAATCTGGGGAAATAAATCAAGTACACACCCGTTACGCGTATTACGATGACATCGATTAAACGATTTACTATATACATTCAAAATTTGACAAATTTTGTTGCATGACAAAAAGATAACGAATCAAAATTGGTGTCAAGATATAACCCCCATGAGTTCGAGATTTCAAAGTTCAAAGAAATTATATGCTTTGAAGTTTCACTGAAAAACTAACCTAACATTTACTTTATAATATGATGGCGCGTTTAAGAAATTTCATCCGGTTTACCGTTAAATTATTAATAATATTTACCGATCGTGTCTGATGAATTCTACATCGTGTCCTGCATGACAGGTTTTTATACAGTTAACACAAATTGCGTTACGGTCTGTCGTATTACATGTCTGGCAGCGATAGAAATCGTGCATAGGGAACGAGGTGTACGACGAAATTTTGTATAAACATTGACCATTTCCAACTGCTTTTTCGACCGCATCTTGGTTATTAAATATTTTATTGCCTGAGAAATTAAACATCGAAAGTTATTTGTTCAATCATCTCTTACGTGCGTATATTATTTTTAAAAAAAATATAGCAGAAAAATAACCTCTAGTCGTTGGTTGAACACCGCTCGCTAAGCATAGACCACCAAATCTATTATTGAAAATTTGATTAAATTCTAGCGTAGCAGTTGCGTTGTTTGTTATTTCAACGCCGGCTGCCAATCCATCGAAAATTCGATTTCTCCTCAGGACTGGATGAGATTGCGTAGAAATAAGCACTCCCGCTTGAGCGTTACGAAATATATCATTTTCTTCCAAAACGCCTAAATCGAACAAAAAATAGACAATTGTTTGGGCTGTGAAGGTTTTATCAAAGATACAAAATAAAACTCACCTTTTCCGCCATTAAATATACAAATTCCACCGTCTCGCCCGTCAAAAATTTTGTTTCTTTTTAACGTAGGGTTACTATCAGTTTTAATCCAAACTCCCGCCATCGCGTTATCAAAAATCTCATTTTGTTCAAGTAAACCTAATCCGCTATTATACACAAGAACGCCACCGTTTTGTCCGCCCCATATTTTATTTCCACGTATCACTGGATTGCTTCCAGTCCTAATATCGTGAAATACAATTAACGTAAATGGCGAAGGTGCAATAGTGTTTGTCAAAGAATACGTTACCTTATTTGTACTCCCGAATACAAATGATTGAAAATATCATTGTCTTCTAGTTTACCGTGTCCATTATCATAAAAATAAACTCCGACTTGTTTACCGCTATGAATACGATTCCTTCTTAAAACTGGTGTCGATCCTGTGGTTATCCAAACACCTGCTAAAGTGTTGGCATATACTTCGTTCTCTTCGATTAAACCCTGACCTTTTTCATGTACGTATATACCACCATGTTGGCCGTGATGTATTTTGTTATGTCTAACTATAGGATCTGAATTCGTTCTGATTTGTATGCCGGCTAAAGCATTACCATAAATATTATTATGTTCTATCAAGCCTCTTCCCTCTCCGAATATATATACTCCTCCCTGATGACCATTGTAAATTTCGTTCCTACGAATTGTCGGATTTGAATTAGATGTGATCCAAACGCCGGCAAAATTATTCGAGTGAATCTTGTTGTCAATAAATTGACCTAAACCGTTTTCGTGGACGTAAATTCCGCCTGTTTGACCATGATGGATTTCACAATGTACAACCGTTGGATTAGCACCAGCCTTTACTTCGAAACCTGCTATTCGATTATTATGAATATCGTTAGCCTCGAAATATCCGAGGCCGTTATCAAATGTGAATATTCCAACATCTCTTCCGTGATGAATATGATTCCTCCGCATTATCGGGTTTGCAAAATTCTTCACCCAAATTCCAGCTAATGCGTTTCTGGAGATTTCATTGTCTTCGTAAGTTCCTTGTGCATAGTCGGTGACATAAAGTCCAACGTTTTCGCAATCCGATATGTCACAATTCTTTACCACAGGATTTGCTCCTACGCCCGATACACAAACAGCTGCTCCGACTGTAAAATTAAAAAATTAACGGTAACTCGACAGATCGTTGAATGAACGATCGATCGAACATAAAGTAATAAAGTAATTATTTACCAACGCTGGAACTCCTAATAATACAATGATCGACGGTGGGACTGCAGTTCTCACCAACTTCTAAACAATAATGTTTATGGTGCGGGACTGTACTAGTAACGTCGGGTGTAAATTTTAACGTAAGATGGCCAGCGTAAGCTCGTTTCGCTCCTTCTACAAACATAACTGTAGATTCACTTTCTCGTTCTAATATAACAGATTCCGCCACATTTCCAGGTGCTGCACCGATTAACGCGACGTCGCTGTCGATCACCAGAAATTCACCTCTATAGATTCCAGCGTGTAAGAAAACTAAATGTTGAGGTGCTTCTTCTGTTGACTGAGAATTGCTACCACAACAATTCCCTTGACCACTCGTGGTTGTGCTATTATTTGACGAGGAACTGCTATTGCTTCTATATTCGTCTACGTAATCTAACGCTCCCTGAACGGTATTAAAGTATGGCAAATTTCGTCCTTTGAACTTCAAACCTTGAAATCCTGGCCTAACGTGTACCCCCCTGTATAATTGTCTAAAGCTCTCTTTCCATGGATTTGGATAATCTGACTCGTCCGGGGATACGAATTCAAATTTACAAGGTGCAGGATTAAACAGTGGTAAGTCGTATTCGTAAACTTGCTGGTAGAGGGACTTCCATAGTTCAGTGTCGTTTGCAATCGCTTGAAAACGTTTGCAAACTTGCGAAACTCTACACAGATCTTGCTCCATTAGATAATTAAATATAGTAAGCAGCACTTCGTCCGGTAACTCATACTGAAGGTAATGCGCTGCAGTGTTTGTGTTTGTACCTGCAAAGTACCAAAAATATATTCTGAGATTTCTTATATAAAAGTAACAAGTATAACGAAATTTTATTATAAATATAAACGTACCATCTGTGGATAATGAACATGTCCGCCTGGGACGTTTTCTTGCTGGTAGGGAGGAAGAACCAAGAGTGGCACCAATACTACTGCCACCCGAGGGGGGTAAAGCAGAGCTGGTACCGGGAGCAGGATCTGGGTGAGGTGGACTTTTACGCCTTAAGTCGTACGGTGAAGAATGGGAATGCGACGGGGATGGTGAGGGTGCGGCAACACCAGATACACTGGGGGAAGATCCTCTTCCACCACTTCCACCCCCACCTCCACCACCTCCTCCACCTCCTCCTCCTCCACCACCAACTCCACCACCAGGAGGTATCTGATTTGATGCTGAACATGGCAAGTCGCATGGCTCGGCTGAGAGAACAAAAATCATATTACATGTAATTTCAAAGTTGATGTTAACAAGTACACATGGTGGTATCATGCTTTTTTTAAAAAAAAAGTAGGCAACAGAAAAAAATAGGGTAAATATTTGTTCTGATGTTTTTCTTATTATATGAAAATTGTAATTAAGATGTTAGAATTTGAAGACTATTTTAAAAGTTTGTAGGTTACAAAGGATACACTTGATAAATGACATTTAAACGTGTAGAAATAACAAAATTCAGTTTATTTTATGTATTCTATGCATCTATACAACGTTTTAATCAATTTAACACAGAATCTATAACAGGTAGAAGATGAAATTAAAAGAGGCTTCAAAAACCTTTTGCCTCAATATCGCGTGCAGATTATTTTCCGAAATCGCACAAGCATCTATCGTTATGCTTGTACAGCTGGACGTTTAATAAATCGGAATTATAAAAAAAAAAATGGGGGAAGTGGGGTGAGGAGTATAGACTTTGAGCCGACATTCCACCGTAAAAATTGACGATCGCGAAGTATACGCGATACCATGATCGATGTCCCTAAAAAAAGAAGGGTTGGTGCGGGAACAGCGAATGGTAGATTGATTTCGGAAAACGTCATTCTAGTCTCGGATTCATCGCGTTTTTTGACCGTCCCGAACTACGAGAAAATCATGCGAGAGAAGAGACGTGGGCAGTATACGGTTTGACGAAGTCTCTGTCCTGCTCTCTCTCTCTCTACGTCCGAATCGTAAACGAGAAACATGACTAACAGAGACGAAGGATGTCGGCATGTCGGTATGGACACACGGAATCGGCACAACGGGGTTAACCCCAGGGAATATCAAAGTAGGTGAAGGCAAAAGAAATGAGTTGAGAGACGACAGGTGAGCAGTGAACCGAGGGTCCGGATGCAGGGCTCTTACCCGAGGTGGTTCTCGAAGGCAGAGGAATCCTGTTCGCGCCTTTTCTCCGGGATCTCCGCACGTAATTGCGCGATGATGTGAACGAGGCGCTTGGCATTTTTAACGTGCTTCCCGACAAAATTATGCGAGAAACGGTAAAACAACTAAACACTAAACAATGGCGACACTTCCACCGAGCCCAGCGGCCATCTTCTCATTGACGGTAGGACTGCCGACTGGTGCCAGACCGCCAATCGGATGAATTTCTGCTCTTCCCCTCTTTCCTCGCCGACCACCCTCGTACCCTACCTAACGCGATCCTTTTCTCACTCACTGGCCTTCTACCCCCTTACACCGATCCCCTCTTCTGCAGTGGATCGCGACACAAGCAACCAACATCAGTATGGAGTTATGGAGACCGTGGACCGAAATACCGATTTGTTCTGCGTATCCGCGATTTTATCATGTCTCGGTCTCTCGGTGGTGTACGTCGCGAGCCTCTATGTATGGAGTTCCCCGTACAATAGGTAGGTACGTAATGCCGATCGGCGACGAACGGCAGTCACTTTTAAATGTCCATTTTCGTGCGACCGACTACACGCTCTCTCGGTTCTGCTAACGGTGAACCACAGGGAACTACGAACAAAGTGTAACTGTATTCACATCCCCCTGTGAACGTGAATACTACTCTTTCTCGAGTTTTCCCACTCACGCAATCGCTTTGTGGACAAGATCGACGCCACTAGCGCCTCTATCGGTTAATTCTTTACTTTCTGTTTCCTTCTCTAATTGGCGCCATATTTAAAACATTTTGAATTTTGTTATTTTAAGTTCCTATTAGAATTGCCTACCTTTTTACTAATTTCAATGAATGTAGATATAAAGTATTGATAAAACGAATCTCCTTTTGTAAAAAAATGGAAAAATCATTTGAGCTCTAGTAAAATTTCTTTTGATTGCAGAGAACATCCTACAGTAATAAAAAAAAGATTTTTTAGCGTTTTTATTATATCTCTTATATCTCCTGCTTCGTTGTACTTTGGAATGAACGACTCGGTCTTTCTGAAGGTAACTATTCATAATGAGATTATTATTTGTAAATTGAATCTTTTACTGTAATTTCTAATTTCTAGGCAACGATTTGGGAATTATTGGGTCTACGGTGGCCAGGTTTAATTCAAGCAATTGTGATACCATTATTATTAACAATGATACTGTTTCTAGGGCCATTAAGCGTACAAGGATTTAATGGGCTTTGGAGATTATACGCTGGTTAGTATTTCATGTGTTATCTGTATACATAGAATGTTCAAGACATTACTGTAGGAATGTAGGTCTGCCTCTTTTAGAGCCTATGTATTGGCTTGGAAGTATACAAACGTTAACATGGTGGAGGAATCAAGTAGTTGCACCTCTGTCCGAAGAGTGGACATTCAGGGCATGTATGTTACCATTGCTTTTGCAATGTTTTACACCGACTACTGCTATATTTGTATGCCCCTTATTTTTTGGGGTTGCTCACTTTCATCATGTAGTATATAGAGTAAAAACAGGCATGAAACTTAAACATGCACTATTTATATCTTGTGAGTATTATTTGCAAGTTTTATTCAATATAAGTTTATCTGTGAACATGTTATAACAACACGTTTATTACTAAGGTTTTCAATTTGCATACACGACATTGTTTGGAGCATATGCAGCTTTTCTTTTTGTTAAAACAGGTATAGTAACTATTGTTTTTTTTTCTTTTTAAACGTAAAACTATGCGTTAACGTTCCTTCCTAACTTGTAGGTCATATAGCAGCTCCATTTACAGCACATTCGTTTTGTAATCATATGGGATTTCCTGATCTATCCGAAGTTGTGGCATTTAAAGGTCCTTTAAAGAGAGTTGGATTGTTTTCTTTGTTTGTCATTGGACTAGTAGCTTGGTGTTTTCTGTTAACACCAATGACAAATCCGACGTTGTTCCATAATAATTTATTTTGGCATAAACATTTTATATGAAGTACGATTTATTTGCAATAATGTCTTCAAAATTATTTACAATTTTGATAACAAAATTAGACTAACTTGAAATTATTAACATCGTTTTAATAATTCATATTGCATGATTTTTTAAAAAAAAGAGTATATATTTTTAATGTAAAACTTAGATTATTAATCTTTCCGAGCGCTGAATTTTTTGACGATTTTTGAAAATACTAATGTTTCTAATATAAATAATTTTAGTTTTGTATAAAGAAATTTGTGTGCAATCAAATTATCAAAAACAAGTTAATCATGCAATACAGAATTAATATAAAATCACAGTAGTGCCTCAGATTTAATTGAACTTATCTAGTTGTAATTATTAATATTGATAATAATTTAGGTAAAGTTTTTCTAAAAAAAACAAAGACGAAATATTATATAGTTAAAGAATTATGACATTGTTACAATAAATAATGTATTACTTACATTTGTGGAAGAAAAATGTTTCTATAAAAATTCATCATTTCAGAAATTCTCTTCTGATGAAACATAAAGACACTTTTATTTCAAAGTCATGTAATTATGTATGTTCCCAGTTACATCCATAAAAATATGTTTACATTCGTGTGAGAATTAACATCATAATACATACATTTATTGTTTATTCGAATCACAGAGATAGCAGTTATAACAGTATTACAATATTTGCTATAAATGTATGCATTTATCTAGCAAAAAATATAAGAAACCATATGAGCTTACATGTTGAGGAAATATCCTCTTATTGGAAAAGAATCTTTCTGCAATGCACTATCACGCCCATTCTTAAATTACGTACTTAATTTTATACATTTTATGCGCAATTATTAATCACAATTTATTGATGATAAAATGAGTGGTTCTAAGGAAACAAAAATTTTCAATTATTAAACGAAGTACAGTAGTGCCCGCATAAGTGACCAAGCTCGAGACCGGCCGCGGTCATTTATGTGGGCATATGGTTACTTCTTAGAATTGAACGGAGATAAGGAAAGAGGATAAGTGCGAGTGAGATACAATAGCTGGCACCCGAAACCATATATGTATATAATGTATCGATAACGACTGGCGTCAAGTTACGCTCGACACGCTCGATGTTCGATGTTCGAAGCCACTTGGCTTGTAAGAATTGGTGGGGATAACCGCGGTCATTTATATGGGCACTACTGTTTTGTATAAATATTTACATTACTTCAGACTGTGAATTTCTTCAACAAAATCTGTTGTTATATTTTAAATACGGTAAAAAATGGAATTTACAACATGGATGGATTCATTTATTTTATAACATAGTAATATAGAATATGTAAATATAAATGAACTCTCAACTTGTATAATATACCAATTGTTAATCTCGAAACACTCTTACTTCGTTAATTTTAGAATAATTTAAATAATTATACATTGTACCTCAAATCTAATGTTAAATTTTTTACCCAAGAACAATAGATTGTAAAATTTTAATTGATGTGAAAGATGTATTTGTTTTTAAAATTCAAACGACGCTGTTATTTTACCTCAAATATATCTACAATTTTACCATTACAGTACTTATACTAGACACTAATTATATCACTTTCATATTATATTTCTTATTTTCTCAGAAAATTATTACAAACAGAAATATTAATAAAATCGTTATGCTAGGAACTGTCACTGCAGACTTTTACGCGTAAATAACCCGTAATAAATAAATAAACAAATAAATAAATGCAGACACTATTAGCGAAGCTTCGGTTACGTATAATGACATAAAAAATGTAGAAAATGGTAAAATTTCTGTAAAATACACTTTTCATATTATCTTCATGCTTGGCTAGGTCCGGGTGCTGTCTCTGTTTTGTCACAGTTTTGTGACTGATTGAGAAACAATACATTACTTGTCTTTATGCTTGGCCCTGATGATATAAGCGAAGGACACGGACTAATGCATGGTGTCGATGAATAACTATTACTTAAATCACACTGATCCAACAGTTTCCAAAGTTCTTCTGGCGTAGGTCCACCAGAAACATCTACAACCGAGTTGCTTGTTAGAACGATCGATGATTCTAATTTCATTGTTCGTAGAAGAAAACCGACATTACTTTGTGTAGAAGAAAAAGATGGCTCTAAAGCTGTTGCAAGATCCCACAATTGAATGGTACCATTAGAATGTCCAGTAAATATAAAACGCCTAGGTCTTGAACCCATGCGGCTAGACCCTTCGCATTCGTGTACATAAAATGAAGTTATAATACTACCATCCACTGATTTGATTACGCAAACCCTCTTTCCATTTGATGCTAAACGAACGAATAACTGATCAGTCTCGGGTATAACTTTTTGAACGAATACTTGTTCATCGTATTGTCCTCCGAATGGTCCTATATCGTGATATCAAGTGATAAAATTTTTGCGCATTTATGTGATCAGCAATGATCCAATTGTTCTTCGTAACATACCAAAATCATTGCCAGCACTGTAACTGATCCAAGGTTCGATAGCTTCTAAAGATACAATTTTAAAACTAGCTTCAGGCGTTGATCCAGGTTGAGTAGAGATCATCCCGCGGAATCTCTTTACTGCCCAACTCCTAACGTGATTGTATTCGGAACAGACTGATACTAAATACGTTTCTGACAATGTCACCTATAATGCATTTTAATGTATACGTACAGAACTTGTAAACTAATAGCAACGAGAACGTGAATTTTGTTAGATATAGACATACGTACTTTCGTCACGCTACTTTGATGTACCGTAAACGTTTGAAATAATTGTGGACCATGCCCTAGCGTTTCGGGATGTTGAACTATGACCCTCACACTGCCAGATTTTGTGCCATACGCAATTTCAATCCAATTACCACAGAGAGCTGCATAAAAAATCATATTTTACACTAAATAACTTCGATTTAAATAATTCGAAGTTGACAATATAAACTACATTTTTTAATAAAAAATGTAAATGACACAATGCTGACATAACATATATTGAAGACTGTAAAAAATAGAAAGAATTCTGTGTGCGTGTATATTTTTAATTAATGTAAAATAGAATACCTACACGAATATAACGTTACATGCTTTGTATCGAGTAAAGAACGACTATTCGTAAAAGGGTATGCAGATTGTTGTTTCATGTAGTAAGAAATATATGATTTGAATTTTAATAAAATTTTATACACATACATATGTTGGAAGATTTGTGAAAATATAATATTTACAATGTATCTAAAGAGAATGTAATTGTTTATAACGGACAAAATAAATACTTATATGCGTACGAAATTACATGGAACGAAAAATAACTATGCAAGCAGATTTCTTTCCTTCCTTTCTCAGATGCTGGTAGGAAATGAATAGTAATGGAAGGAGGAAGCAGAAAGCTCTAATAATGAAATCTAATGCGAATTAAGAACAGCACTTGCATAACCATTGTATAAATCAAATATTAATAAAATAAATAGAAAACGAAAATATCATAATTTACATTAGTACAACTGGATGCATAAGGATAGTGGGGCTGTGTATGTTTAGTGAAATCTATGAGAGAAAAGAGTTTTTATAAGTGTTTTCGGATATATCATTTCAATTTATAATTATAGATGATCAAGTATGTAGGATTATTTTCGAATGTATTTATATTCTGGTTCAAAGCGAGTAATCGAAAGCTATTTCTTTCAAACATGTAAATATATGTATAAAGGTGGTTTTAATTAAAAGTGCTGTTAAAAGCGGTATATGAATATGGATTTGTGCATTGATTTAACGCAGAATAAAATACTATATCTGGAAAGGAAGGGTATGGACATTAGTACTTCAAACAATGCATCATGTTTGATGCGATACAAAATGTAGAGAAACACATGTAATTGTGAATTGTGACTTGAATGTGAAAATATTGTAGAACATTGTCATATTGACCCATACTTGCCTTGTGCTATTTATCCAGTTGTACGAAATCATGAAGCAAAGAATGTAATAATAAACTCTCATTAATATTAAAAAACAGTATTGAACTTTATGATAGAAAGACACCAGAACGTTTACATCCAAAGTAATAGGTCAGTTATCGTGTGCGTCTTTCTATCGAAACAAGTTTGTTTTGCATTATAAAGAAGAAAAAAAATAATGAGAGATTCATGATTATGATTCTTCAGTACATAATCAAAGATACAGCATAATTATCTAAGAAAGTATAATATAAAAAAACACATTTATTATAAAGGTAACGTTTGTTTGTTATTACATTCCTCAATATAAGCAGATTTAACAATTATATTTTAGTCCACTTATTTGTACGTCACTTGAAAAGGTGGTTCTGCAATAGAGATACTGTAATACTCAATGTTATGAACCATGAATTAATTATTATTTACCTTTGATTTTCGTGTTAAATTGTTTATTAAGATAATATTATGTTAGGAGAAAAACGTATATGAAAACTTACATGTTTTTGGTGTTAAATAAACGGATATGGCTGTAATGGGATCATAATTTGGGTCACGGTACAGTTCAGTTACAAGTAGATCGTTATCCTTTATTCTCAAAGGGAATTTTTCCATGTCTGTAAATTGATGTAACGTATCACTATTGTAAAATCTATTTCAAACGTTAAAAGAGACGTTTTTGAAAATTTATTTCTAATTACCAATATAATAAATAGATCCATTGTTACAACCCAATAGAAGAAACGAACCAGCTGTATCGAATGATAAAATCGGCACTACGTCTTGTATTTGCCAATGATGCGTCGTAGCGTGCCATACTCCAATTTTATCGGTCGGGGATAAAGCAACCAATTGTCTTCCAATAAAAAATAAATATTCCACGCGTACGTTTAAGTTAAATGTACCAATGTTAGTATTTTTCCCGTTTGTTGAAACGTTCCATAATCTCACTTGATTTCCATAAGAAATGGCAACCATTTTGGTATCGAGACTAGTGTTCATTTTCGAAGTTATTGCGACCCTTTCGATTATCGATTCGATATGTGGACTAGTGAATGCATGTTGCCATCCTGATGGATCTTTAAGTCGATAACACCTTATAAAATGTGCATAAGCAATTACAATCCAATTGTGATGTGCTTTTATGATTTGAACTCTTAAAGGATCCACCCATGATGAAACTGTATTAACAGAAATTATTAATAATATTTTATTAGAATTTTGGAAGCAAAATATATATATATCTGTTTACCTTGTTGGGGGCCGAACACTAAACTTATGTCATTTTTATATAACTTATTTAAATCGGCTGAATTATTTCTAACGTGTCTTAAATCGAGAGACGAAGTACGCGAGTGTGGTAAGCCTCTTTGTTGGATTCTACAATCCAATGAAGAATTTCTTACATGCGTTCCGAGCGCTCCTTTATGGTTTTGTTGTCCTAAAGTAAATTTACACTAAATGCTAGGAATAATTTGTATAGAAATAAGATTAACACGTTAACTGCCACGCCGTTTTTACCTGATTTCCTGTTTTTGTTATTCAACAATGTAAATAGGCGAACGTGTTTTAACAAAATAGTAGTAATATGTTTTCTATTTAATACCTTCATTTATAAAAGCAAAAGTTAACTGTCGGCCCATGGAAACCAGTGTAACGTGAATAAAAAATCTATTGTTGGTCTTTAAGGACTAGCATGGCAGTTAATGTATTAAGTATTTAACGTTCATTACCATTATTGTTGTAATTAGTGCTAGAACTCGTGGAAGTTGTGTTTTGATTTTGTGAAGTGGATGGTACATCTACCCTAGAATTAGTATTATTAGTAGTAGCTCTACCATGAATGGATACATCTCCTACATTCGATGAGATGGTAGCAGGTTCTTGCAATGGTATACCTTTAAAATTAAAATATTTCAAACATAAATTATCGTTGGATTAAGTTTTATATCATAAGATATGATTCTTTAAATGCTTACTCGGAGGTATTAAATACCCATAAAACAATACATCTCCGCAAGAAGACTGAGTTAAATCTTCGCACAACATTAAACGCTTAACTAATGGTGTAATACCATAATATTCAGCTTCGTGCCTTAACGTTCGAAGATCTATATTTTTTATATCGATCTCTTTTGTACGTAAATAATTCAATATAATAGAAAACAACTTTGGATCTCTGTCTATAAATAATGCTCCAATTTCATCTCTGTGACTAGCAATTCGATTACTCAACAAAGCTGTGAAAAATGAATCTGGGACCCATGTTAATGTCTGTTTTGACGTTGAAAACCTGAATAACAAATAATGTTAGCACATGGAGAAATAATTATAAAGAAGAATAACATTGATAAATAATATTGGACGACGGTTGGCCAGCAATTAAAAAACAATATATTGTACCTTGTTCCACCAACATTTAAATGCACGATGTCACCAACACTAAAAGAAGGAGGCACGGCCATTGTTACGACTGACTTTGTACATAAATGTATAATTTGATGGCGTACGTTTTATCTTGATAATAATCACTAAATAATTCGAAGATTAGAAATTGCGTCACAGGTTATGCATGTTTTTTTGACTGCTTTACCAGTGTGTACTTTCGCGTGCGTATAATTGCATTCTGATACAAAGATTAGAAACTTGAAACACCCTCTTTCGTTCATTAAAAACATTAATATATCAAATCTTTACATGGGAAAGTTATCCAAGACTAATATTAGATATTAAAATTATTATACACATATTAACAACACGTTTTAGGCTGAATAACTATAAGAATTTTTTCGCATTGTTTGCCCATCAACAGCAAATCACATCTCGTCGATGATAGAATCACGGGTAATATGTAGTATAGATCCAACATCCGCTCGAAGAATTTGTCCTACAACCAGAGATTCACTACCTTATCAATTCAGACTAGAATAGGATCATAGTATTACAAGCGACAGGAATTAAAACGAATAACTTCTGAAAATGTATAGACGTTTGTTTGAACAATCAGATTCATCATGTCATCATCCATTCAATTTATTACGTTTGTTCAGATTTAAACTTTATCTCGTGGGTTCATTATGGTATCCCACATTTACAATTCTTTATCCAGAATATTATACATAACACTCGAATATCTTCAAAACTGTCGATGATAGTAAAAAATGTTACAAAATATTTATATCATTAGAACCAGTATCGCAGACGAGATATACGTGTAGACCTTATGAACTTTCGTGGCTCAAATTGACTGCCATACCGACTTAAAATTTGAGAGGTGATTTTAACGTCCTCTTCTCATGGATGGCGGTCAGTTGAGAAACTATTCATTGAATTAGTGTTGATAAGGTAAACAGCTGTATGACTTTTATTACATCCTATCAAGTTCGCATTTCAATTCGTCTGTGATACGTGTCTAATGTAATAGCGTCGAAATGTACATGATGAACTAGATGATTCAATGGAAATTTATTTTCGATGGATTATAACTATTAATTAATTATAATAATCGTTCATATACTTTAATGCATTTTTATTTTGTTTTTGTTACAGTCTCTTGTTAGAATTCGAAGTTAAGGAATTCATTTTCGAAATACAAACTTCGTGAGACATCGGAGCCCCCCGCCACCCCCGACTAATTTGCGAAAGTACAACGAGGGGTCGTCATTCGTGCTGTAAAAATTGGTGTAGTAAGACGTGTCCAGACATGTTCAGACGTTTCACGACTAACGAGGTGCGTATTTCTAACCTGTTGCTACTTCATCATTAATACTATCCGGGTTTACTTTCTATCGATGCTTTTACATAATATTACTACATTTTGTATCTCTGAATTTAATAACGATCTCTTGCAATACAGTTTGGATTTAATTATTACTTGATTATAATAATCGTTCATGTACTTTAATGCATTTTTATTTTGTTTCTGTTACAGTCTCTGATTGGAATTCGAAGTTAAAGAATTCGTTTTCAAAATACAAGCCTCGCGAGACATCGGAGCACCCTCCCCAACTAATTCGCGGGGGTACAGCGAGATGTCGTCATTCGTGCTGTAAAAATTGACGTAGTAAGACGTGTCGAGACATGTTCAGACGTTTCGCGACTAACGAGGTACGTATTTCTAACTTTCTCATATTTCCTCGTTATTATTACACGCGTTTACTCTCTAACAGTGCTTTCGTTTAGATTTAATACATTTATACTACAAATTGAATCGAAATTGTGGCAAAAACTGAATCCTATTTCGCGCGTTTTCTTCAATATCTAACCGGCGTCGATTTGTTGTATTTCTCTGTATATATTATTTCAAGTTAAATTATTGTTTATTTATTATTAGATATGTCATTTGTATTTTATTTCTGTTACAATTTCTGATTGGAATTCGAAATCGAAGGATTCCTTTTCGAAATAGAATCTTCGGGAAACATCGGAGCTCCTCGCCACTCCCCGAGCTAATTCGTGAGCGATGCTGGTTATAGCGCGGAGCCGCCATTTCTGTTGTAAATATTGGCGTAGTAAGACGTGTTCAGACCTGTTAAGCCGTGTCGGCGGTTTGCGAACGTGAGGGTATGTATATCTAACCTGTTCATATTTCATCATTAATACTACTCGCGTTTATTCTCTAACAGTGCTTTCCTTTCGAATTAATACATTTCTACTAGAAATTGTGTCGGAATTGTGACAATAACTGAATCGTATTTCTCACGTTTTCTTCGATATTTAACCGGCATCGATTCGTTATATCTTTTTAAACACAATTACGTATCTTGTAATTATTGTTTAATTATGATTAGATACGTTTCCTGTAATGCATTTGATTTTAACTTGTATTTTATTTCTGTTGCAGTCTCGTATTGGAATTCGAATTGAAGGCAAGCTACCGGCACGCAATCAACGCCATGACGCCATTACACCATAGCGCCAACTTCAAATGGACGAATAAGGTTGAATTGGTAAAATTTAATACATATATTATTCAAACGAATAACATTTATACATTTTTTATGTATTTTTATTATTTTATCGTGTTATTTGTCGAAAGTATAATATATCAGTGTTGAGATTAAGTAATTGAGATTAAATAATAAATAATTTTTTAATTTGTTTTATAATCGATTTCAATTAAGTGGCAAATTAAATGGGAATTAATTTCCATATTTTATTGCATTTTGATCGCGATTCCATATTTTTTTAGGTGTCAAATATTAATTGACTTTTTACAAATTTATCAGTATGAATTGTTGCAATTGTATTTGCGTACAGCTTTCTATGCAAGTTGAATAAAACATAGAAACTGCGTAAATATGATATGCCATTCCAATAGAAGTAAATAAACTTTAATTTTTGCACGTTTTAGAATGTTTATAAAAATCGAAATATATATTAAAATTTAATTCAGTTGATACCATCACGCTTACAACTCTAGTAACAAAAGGCTGATATATAATATTTTTTAAATCGAGCAATTATTTTATAATTGCCTTCATTAATAATATTTTATCATTCAAATTTATGTGTTGAGAAAATTTATTTTGTATCTTTCTGATGTGATTCAATGTTCTTTCTGATGTAGAAGGAATTACAGTATTTCCATTGATAGTTACTAAGTGAGAAAGAAAAAAAACCGTAGGAAAGCACAGGCGTGCTTCTTGTGTATATTTCTTGTGTCCTTCCCAATTCTCTTTCCAGGAACGTTGGCCGCGCGCAATGCGGCCGGTAGCTTCAGTGATAGTACGTAGCAACAGTTTGTTTATCAGGGCAAAGTGACCCAAAGTAAGTTGTCGTACAACGTAGTTTCGGCAAATGCGAAAATAGAAGCAGTGTTTCTTACGCACACTTAAATATTTCCAGAGCATCGTGGCTCTTGTTGTTTTCTAAATCGCGAGACTAGAGTCATTTGTTCGCCGATTTGAATCTTCGGTCGCGGTAATGTAATTTCATATCTAATAAACTAGATTATTTTTTTAATTTGAAATTAAAATTCTTCGTTACCGGGATTAGAGTCAGTGCATCACTGAAGAGGAGTATTGGCCGGTGCTCCACGAGCAAACAATGTAAGTATAAATTTATACTTTGAAATTTTTAATTAAAAATTTTTACAGCTTTAACAATAGATTCAAATTGTTTTCTTACAGTTTTCTTACAGTCTCTGAACGTGATTCTGAAAAGCAGCAGCAGTACCCGGGGCGGTATCGGGCGATGGACCACGAGCGAACAACGTAAGTATAAATTTATACTTTGAAATTTTTAATTGAACATCTCTATAATTTTAACAATAAATTATAATTGCTTTCTTATTCTTTATAGCAGGACCATGCAGAGGGCTTTGATGACTTCCATTGGCCAGCAGCAGCATCATCATGCAGTCATCCCAGAGGCACAAGTTCATCACTTGTGAGTCGCATGTTATTTGTGTTCCTCTGGTCCCCAATCATGTTGTAGGATGAAAGATCCGAATCAACACGGGTGACCAGTTGTATACTTAGTATTTTTGACGAGTTAAGTGACCCATGAGTTGTATTTTTTTAGTGTAGGCTAGGATCTTCTTGCACTCGCGTTTTTTAATGTTACCAATAAATATTACACAATATGATTATTACACAATTTTTATAAAATATATGCAATATTTTTATTAACGTTATATGAATTATATAATTGAGTAGAACATGAATTAATATAATGTGAAAACATTATATTAACCATATGATCGAGTAGAATATCTTACAACATTAATATAATTATTAAATATTCGTTTTATTAATTAATACATCATATGATGTATTTCATGTGCAAGAAGGCATTTCGCGACTGGTCGATTTTCAAATCAAAGGAACATGTATATTAATTTTATCTTTTGAAAAATTTACTTTGACGACAAAATCGACCAAGGTTAATTGAATATTTTGAATAATAATTTAATAAATTTATTCCAATTTGCAAAGTATTTTATCATGAAATTTTTATTAAAGTCTTCCATTTTAAATAATTAAATTTCAGTCACAAATTTTTCTTGAATAATAATATTTTTCAATATTAACGTACTCTGTTGTTAACATATTACATATTATAACAAGTCGAGTCATTTTAACTGAGAATAGATACCGTTTAGATAATTATTAATAACCAGTTTTTCTAGTCAGGATTTTCAGGATACTTTTCCGTGTTCGTTGCCTAAGTTCGTGCACATGCCCACGTGTTATTTGCACGAGCGAAGGCAACGGGGCACGATGACTTTATTTATAATAATTCAACGACATATTGACGACTGACATTGGTTAGCGAATCGTGCGCGACGTACTGTCCACATGTGTGTGTTGTGGTTAGGTTGTGGAAGTGCGTCGTTTAAACAATTCACTACAATTCTCTAGATTTCTATTAACTGCAACATTCAATTTTTACTTACCAATTTATCAAATTAATTATTGATTTTGCTGTTTATGTATTCGTTTCCATACACGATAATTCTGGTAATTCATACTGGAATAAAAAATACAATATACTTGATGAATGACTTTGTATTATATTAAATTATATAAAGATTTTATAGTATATAAAAATGTTATCTATAATATAAATACGCAATGGTCGCTAGCCTTTGTCAGACGATTTCAGAAACTGGTATGTACATTTAGAGTATGAATGAGGTTGTGTCCGGGTGTCGGAGGAACCCCGGGGAGTCCTCTCTAGTTTAGGTCGCGCCCGGACATTCCGAATGAGAACCGTGGAGTGTTTGTTTTGTGTGATTGAGTTTTGCAATTTTTTAAATATAGGGTTAGGTAGGTAGGTAACTTTTTCTCTGGTGTGTGTGTGCTTAATCTAAGTAGGTAGGGTCAGGGCAGGACTGTCCACATTAGTCACTCGGGTAGGCGCGTTTTCGCGTGGCAGTTCTGTTCCTGTAGTTACGATTTCGAGAGTAGAAATCTTGCCGATTCAAACGGCGCACTTGTGCTGTTTGTTTTAGCTTTATTTTCGACTCCTCGAATCGCGCGACTCTTAAAGTCGCTCTCTCGCGCTCGCGGTCGTGATCAGGTCCCTTTCGAAACGTTCGTTCCCCTCGAGATTCACCACGTATGCTCTTGCAACAATTCGTATATTGTTGGAAGACTACGTATTGCACAAAATCTCGAGCCTTGTTTTAAGTAAGTTTCAGGCATCGGCAGGACCGCCGAAGAAAGAAAAGGCTCTATATGAGCTGAAGAGGCCCTGACAAACTGTCTCAAGAGTGGGCTACAACAAATGGCTTTTCATCTTCATCCTCGGATGAGGATGGAAAGTCATTCCTCTTACTATTTTGTCACTTAACTCGTCTGTAGTTGTAGTTAGTTTGTTTTTCTGGCTGGCTCACGCATGCATGTACCTGACGGTATATGATTGCACCATACATGCCAGCCATTCCACCCCTGTATTCTGTTGGCTGGTTCACGTATGCATGTACCTGGTACATGATTGCACCATACATGCCAGCCATCAGGGCAACTCGCGGTTATGATGTACATAGAGTTGCGAATATGCAATAAACGCGTTTGTTTTTAGAGTTGCGAATTGTTATTTTTCGCGTTTCCTTTTCAGGGTAGCGTTGCGAATAATTACCATTCGCGATTGTTTTCATGCAAACTTAGGTACCGGGAGTTTGTTTTAAAAGTAGCGTTGCGAATTATTGATAAACGCGATTGCTCGTAGAGTTGCGAATTACTATTTTTCGCGTTTGCTTTTCAGGGTAGCGTTGCGAATAATCACGATTCGCGTTGCTTTTTTACTCTTTTATACATACAATGGACATCAACCGCGTTTGCAATTTTCATACTATAAATTAGCGTTGCGATCTTGATTAATCGTGCGATTTTTTCTTTAGAGTTGCGATATTTTCAATGCCCAAATTCTACCCCAATTGTAGTATTAGAAGTAGTTAGTTTGTGGCCAGTACATGTGTATGTACATGTACAATTAGCCCTTGATTAAAGTTAGAGTTGCGAATAATACAATGTTCGCGTTTGCTCGTAGAGTTGCGAATAAATATTTATCGCGTTGATATGCCAGTGTTGCGACTAAACACGATTCGCGATTGTTCTTGTGCAAACATAGAAATCGGGTGTTTGCCTTAAAAATAGCGTTGCGAATTATTAGTAAACGCGATTGCTTTAGAGTTGCGAATCACTATTTTTCGCGTTTGCTTTTCAGGGTAGCGTTGCGAATAATTATTATTCGCGATTGCTTTGTATTGTTACAAGTCGCGTTTGGAATTTTTCTATTATAAATTAGCGTTGCGATTGTTGATTTATCGCGTTGTTTGCCCCGTAGTGTTGCGATATAAAATGTCTAGCTTCCTCCCAAGATGTGCCACACTATTGTAGTTATTAGTAGTTTGCAGTAGTTAGTTTATTTTATACATGTATATTTGTATCTACCACTGAAGACGCCAGTATTTTTGGGCAAAACGCGATTTGCATTAGCGTTGCGAGATAAATATATTTCCATTAAAGATAGAGTTGCGATAAATGTACAATAATCGTGTTTATTCATAGAGTTGCGATTTACTATTTTTCGCGTTTCCTTTCCAGGGTAGTGTTGCGAATTTCATACGCGATTGCTTTAATTGTTAGTTAAGAATAGTGTTGCGAATACATCGATCGGTTTGCTCTTAGCGTTGCGAATTCCTATTTTTCGCGTTTGCTTTTCAGGGTAGTGTTGCGAATAATCACCATTCGCGGTTGTTTGTATTGTTATAAATCGCGTTTGGAACTTTTATATTATAAATTAGCGTTGCGATCTTGATTTATCGCGTTTTTATTAATTAGAGTTGCGATCTAATGCCCAAAATCTGACACTGGCCACTGCTTCAAGATCATCACGATGCAGCTGGGGATTCTACAAGTCCTCAGATGGCTCAACTTTATTATTAATATTAGTGTTGCGTATTATTTAATATGGGTGCACGCGATTTAATTAATAAAGCAACTTTGTATGGTTTATTTCACGAATAATAAGCACCTCTCGCGATGTTTGGATTTTATAAATTAGCGTTGCGAAAGAAAGAATTGTCCAATTACGGGTTGTTTTCATATTTATTTTAACTATGTAAAATATATCTTTCTTCTATATAATGGTCAATGGAAATACTGTTTTATATAAATCAAATGTTCTATTTTTCATAATTTGTAAAAAACTGTAATTTTTATGAATACATTTCCATTACAGATTTGTGACGTATTTAAAAATGATATATTATGATTAAGTTGATAGTATTGAATTCACTATTCCAATATATATATCACTAATTGTTATTAGAGTTGTTAATTTTTACGGCATATAGTGATTTTTCTAACCGCGATATTTATTTATAAATAGTGGATTTTTTTTTATAAATATTCGGAATTCTTTGCATGGATTAAAGTTTATTCGCGATCTTTGTTTCAATTGATGGGAAATAAAATGCTTGTATCAAAGGGGTACGCAATTGCAACTCGATATTTCATATTGAGATGTAATTTCCGCATAGAATCACTTTTGAATCGCTATTGTTGCTCTTTTTGTACGAACTTAACTTAATTCTCGATGCAGTAAAATATAATTATTTCGATATTTACGTCTGGAAAAATTTTTGATTTGAAAAACGAAACGAAAAATAAAATCTACGGTAATGAACGAATAACATTTTCAATCTATTCGGTAGTTATCTCAACACTGAATATTTATGTTTCTAAACTTTGTAAATTCAATTTTTGCTCGTGGAAGTTCTAATTCAAATATTAATTTTGTAATATAAATTTTGCTACGATCGATAAATACGAGTCAATCTGGATAGGATATAATTATTCTTTTCTGTGTCCACTAATCATTTTCATTTCAGCTTACTAATTCTTTGAACAAGTTCTGTTTACAGAGCAAAAATTACTACAAGATGAACGTGATTGAACGTGGTCGTTTCTAGGAAAATAGCTATCTCACAGAATTATTGATTGTCTCTGTTTATGTTTCAGGAAAGCATCGTGGGAGTATCAAAGACATCAAAAAGATAATATCTTTTCATGTTTCTTTGTTTTATCTGAGTAATATTTATTGTATTTGAGTGTATGTTTCAGGAAAACATCGTGGGACTATCAAAGACACTAAGAAGACAACATTTTCCCTTATTTCTTTGTTTTATATGATTTATATTTGTTACATTTGAGTGTATGTTTTAGGAAAACATCGTGGGATTAACGAAGACACCCGGAAGAAAATACTTTTTCATATCTTTTCATGCTTCTACGGATTGCGTTAGAATATAAGTATACATGTATACAGATTATAAGATAAACATGCGTTTTGCGGCATCTTAATAAATAATACCGAGCTTCGTGCGTTTATTTTAAGAGCGAACTTAATATTAAGGCATGACTGGGTTCATACGCGCAGTTGCGCTTTTCAATGTCATTCTTCAGGGTTTTATTAGGCACTGTTGTAATATAAGTGCAAGGACAATCAATATGAAGGTACATATTGTTATTCTAATAGTCGTGCGTGCAGTTGCACTTTTCAACGTCGTTCTTCAGTGTCTTCTTAGGCACTATCGTAATACAGATGTAGGAAAAATCAATATGAAGGTACATATTGTTATTCTAATAGTTAGACTTCGTACGTGCAGTTGCACTTTCCAACGTTGTTCTTCGGTGTCTTATTAGGCACTATCGTAATACAGACGTAGGAATAATCAATATGAAGGTACATATTGTTATTCTAATAGTCAAGGTTCATACGTGCAGTTGCACATTTGTTAGGTTTTTGGTCTATTTATCAGTCAATATATCAGTCAATTCTTCTAAAGACTCTTCTCTCGTTTTTGTTAGGATTTCTCACCAAAGGAGGGTGGTTGGGGTGAGATTGGGGCGGGTCTCCATTCGCAGCAACCTCCAAGTGGTGAGACCTGGGAATCATTATTATTTAGTATGTAATTAATAACTCATTACTCGTAACTGTGTAATATAATTATTAATTACATAGCAAATAATATGAGCTAATGGCTGCGATCTTCCTCGTATAGTTTAGTATAAATGCATATAGTTTCTTCATCAGATCCGAAGCGATCATGTTCCCTTTATCATATCTCCCTTTAGTATTTATAAAAATTAGATCTGAAGGCTGCAGCTTCCGCTTAGCCTTTCTGTTGATTCGTGTCCGACAGGGGCAATAACTTTCGCGTATCGATAAAGAGGAATACGCGGAAGAAAAAATCGAATAGAAAAACTTGAAGTAGCAATCTCGACAAAGGTGTATATTTATCTTGGCAAATGTACAGGCATATATGCATATTCATGCCAAGTACAATTCGAACAGTATGTCTACGCGTATACTTTAGGAGGTGGTACAGGGGTGGCGTTATAGAGTTTCGTGCAATACTTGACGGACGCAAAGTTTGAATTCTCGTTAACTATTGCGTCCCGCCCACTATAAAACAATAAGTATTACGTTGTCGGTCAATGTCTCCTTCGTCGGTTCACGAGAATTCGATTTTGTGGAGAATGTCTTTGGTTATCCTAGCCAATGTGAAACAAACCGTGGTGGAGGTATCTTCCTGTCGACGATTCGTTTTTATAAGTAAACGAATTCCATCGAAATCTGAGAGCGATGAATTTCCAAATATATAATGGCGAAGAATATGACGAACTAATTAGGCCCATAAAGATTAACGGGAGCATAATATCCATTTGGCCGTTGGACGAGAATGATGGCAAAGCAAAGGTACTCTTTAGAAGATTTCATCTGTTCTGTATGTTTTTCTTGGTAAGCATCGTTTAGGAGATTAGTGTAAAATTGGCGATCGCTAAGTAGTAGTAGATACGTTTAACAAAGATTGGGATAATCATTTGAAAGAGTTGAGTTTTCAGGTGATGGTGATGTCATTTGCAGTGTCGGCCGATGTGATACATAATTTAAACAATTTGGACGAGGCAACCGAATGTGCTCTTATCTGTTCCGCTTTTTATCTTTGCGCCGTTCGTTTGACAGTTTATACGGTTCACCAAAAAGATATGCTTTACGTGGTGAACACAATGAGAGAGGACTGGACTACATCTTCCTCCGATGACAAGACTGTTTTAGCAGAGAAAACGTTGTTTGCCTATCGGCTGGCCAAATATTTTATCTGCACAGTCGCTATAACGATCGTAATATTTATGTGTGTTCCCATTCTGGAAGTACGTACACCAACGTGCCTTTGTATTTATTTTTTTTAACTTTTGTTTTATTACCGCTTACTTTTCGTGCTAAACTCCTTGCCGATTAAGCTGGTCGGGTCGAGGATTTTTAACTGAACTGATAACGTTTGATTCGTTTCAGAAGAGATACGAAAGTGTCTGATTAAATTTTAAGACGTTCGATGGAATTTGGTTTAATTTACAATTCGTAGCTTCGATTCGATTAAGTTTGCAAGCGAATGGGGACGGAGTTTAGCTCGATTTGAAAAAGTTTGCGGACGTTTAATTTAGTTAAACAGTAGTCAGACTTGTTTGATACGATTTGATTCGAAAGAAAGCAATGAAATTCAACTCGTTTTTCTTATAGATTTACTTTCTTGGTCGGGACAAAGTGCTTCCCTTCCGAGGCTACTTTTTCATCAACCAAACTATATCACCGGTATTCGAGCGTCTTTATATGTTCAACGTAACGGCAGGTGGTTTTGCTGGAAGCATGATAGCTGGTGCTACCAGTTTCAATTTTATAGTGATAATGCACGGATCGGCGAAGTTTGCGGTTCTGCGTAAAAGGCTGGAAGGCCTAAAAAGCGACGATCCTAATTCTATTTCTGCCATGACAGATTGCGTGATACGTCATCAGGAAGCAATAGAGTACGTTTTACTTGTTAGATTATGAATTAATTTTTCCTGGATGTTGATTCTGTTTCGAGTGCAATTTGAAATCGTAAATGTAGTTCTACATCTTTTCGTAGACTTGTTATGTATACCCATCTCAACCAAAAGGTGAAATAATGTTAAAACCACGATAAACAGCATCTAACAATATTTATCGATGTTCATCTTCTAATTTGCTTATCGTTTTAACCAGTATTTGACAATGTCTAAGAATCGTTTATTTCCCCTACTGATTTTCCCCGGCGCATTAATCGCGAAAATGCTCCGCGATTACATGCAACGATCTGTTTTTAGGTACGCAGATGCATTGGAGAGGATCATAAATGTTCTGGCTTTGGGGCAATTCGTTATTAGCACCGGGCTGATCTGCTTCGCGGGATTTCAAATCACCTCGGTACGTCTGTTCATTCCTCGCGAGTCGTAGCGTCGTCGATTAAAAAAAGGTAACGTTTCCAGATGATAGAGGACAAGGGGCGTCTGATGAAATATTCAACCTTTCTGAATTCTGCCATTCTCGAGTTGTTCATGTTCAGCTTTAGCGGAAACGGGCTGATCGACGAGGTGAGTGCAAAAACTAGTTTGCAAACTTTCGCACTAACGATTCTAAAGACGCCACTATTGGTATTGGGCAGATTTTATTCACGAATAACGTTGATGGATTATAATTTGCGAACGAATTTACAAACGGAACGTAAACTGACGTTATTCTAGCAATTAATCTAAACATTTTATTCGATATTCGTGAACAAAATTTGCCCAACTCTGGTATTGGACTGCATACTTGACGGTGTCAACTATTAAATTGCGAAGGGAAAATAATTAATAATTGATGACGAAACAGAGCGAAGCAGTGGGTGAATCCGCTTACAGCAGCGGCTGGATAGGTGGCCGTTTCTACCAAAATCTTCGAATCATGATGATGCGCTCGAGAGTTCCCAGCAAGATAACGGCAGCGAAATTTTACAGTATGTCTCTGGAGAGTTTCTCAGCGGTGAGTGAAAATGTATTTCAACCCTTTCGGTGGCACGTCAGCCACCGATTTGAGTATCGACGTTTTTTTCAGCGTCAGAACGAGGGCAAGTCTTCTTCTTCAACCCTCGACCGGCTGATGCCGGGTTGTTCATTCATGTTTAAAGTTTTTTAATACGCTTGAAAACCTTGCCGATTGAAACTTTTTAAAAACACACCAAGTGCAAATTTTACACAATCCAAACGAATAAATTCAACCACGGATATTTAACAAAAGTAAAATTAAACAAATCCATTGATAAAATATTGTGTGTGCTTTGCAGGTTCTCAGTACGTCGTTCTCGTACTTCACGGTGCTGACGGCCACCAAAGACGAATAATGGCCTCTGCGATGAATGTAGACGTTCTGTACAACATGTTTTGCGATCGTAGATGGAGTCCCTCGAGTGACTCAACTTATAGAGAATATATACTATAGTTGTTTCGCTAGTCTAAAAATATCCGTATACATCAAAGCGCCGTTTGAAAGTACGCGTTGTCCGAGGTTTCGGGGGTTGTTCAGAGCGAGATACGAGGTACATTTTGTGCGATGTTCAAAGGTAAAAGCTTTTAGAATAAAATGGGGAATATAGTTTTTATCAACCAGTAATTTAATATTTGTTCATGGACTATTTAATATCGGATCGCTTATAGCGACGTGTCAGCTGTTGTTTCAGTGACCTGATGTAAACAAAAACTGAAACCCATCGTGAGTTAGCTATCGTCAGCTAGCCATTCGTTTGAAAGAGTTTGGGCAAAATGTTACGAGTTCTTTAGGTGGGGTGAACCATGAAACAAATGGTCTCGGGAGCGACTCGAGGGTATTTTCATCGCAACAGTATCACACGTGAACTCGGCTACAGTGCACGCACACGGCTGCTCCATTCTGGCATCTTCTATTCCGTGTGCAACGTCGTTCGCGTTCAGTGTTCGTTGCATCGGTATATGTAGAATCTAACGAGAACAAATATCGAAGACTCGTTTCGATAGAACGTTTCGCAGCATTCCGACCGACGATGAGAGCCGGATGATTATCGTCGTTCACGGGATGGCAATATGGCGAACATCAAAGTAGCGGTGCGCGTAAGACCAATTTCCGCCAAGTGAGTATCAGCAAGTTGCCGTCAGTTTCGAACAAACTAATGGGGATTTGATGGTTACGTTGAAATATGGTTTTTCTTTTGATATAGTAATTTTAAGCACAGGTATATGAAACCCGTGAAATTGGATCAAGGAAAAAGGTCACGGCGAGGTAAAAAATGAAATTTCTATGGATGTGTAACGATGAAAACATTGGTCGAAGATTCTCGGTTCGTTCGCGAACGGCTTCCACCGTTGAGTTTACGGCCTGATACGCGCTAATGTATTTTAAGAAACTAGCAAAAACCGTTTCAACTGTCGCGCTGTCGCATTGCTCTTTCTCTGTGCTCCGGGGATACGTGCACATTCGGAGAACAGAGGTCAAGGTTTATTGGCTTTGTAGTTTCATTTTCGCAAGGCAGTTCTTTGCGGGTTTTACGACTCTTCTCGGCTATCGACTGGCGTCTGCTGGAAATACGCGGCCCGAGGTAATTATTTTCCATCGGAAAGCGGCGCCGCGTCGCGTTCACGCATAAAACGAGGATAAAGATCTGGAAGTAGGATTTATCGGGCAGTGGTGCCTTTTCGATTCGGCAGTTATGAACTCGTTTCTATAATTAGAAGAAGGGGCCGGAACGCCGCAAAAGTAAGACAAACTGACAATTTCTCGGGGAAACGAATGCGACAAGCTTCTTCGACAACGAGGAAGCAACTTTGGCTGTTTTTAAACATAAATGGCGTCGAGTTGGATATTACATCAGTTAGTGGATTATTCAGATGATTCGAATTAGCGGAACTCAGGCTAACGGAGATTGGAAGTTTGATCGAAGCGCGAGGAAAGAGGGATCGATTTTCTCGCGACCGAGGACTTTTATGGATTTCGAAAGTCTCGGGTTAGGTTCAACAGCTTCGTTGACCCAGAACGATCCGTCCGTCCGGGTGTTCGACAACGACGAGATGTTAATTTCGCAAAAACGCGAAACGCGGCACGAAATCGTACCGATTAGACCGAATAGGGGCGATAGGATCACGCGAGGACCCGATGTCGAAGCACCGAATCTGCATTTCTGTGTGTGCGTATCACGCACATGAGCATGTAAGTACGTAATAGCGTTTCCACTCGTCTGGTCACGCCAAAGGTTCTGCTACACGACAGAAGGCGACCTGAAAACTCGTTTGACCGTGATTTACGAATGCCGTCTTTACGGTATTGTTTCGAAACCCGATGCGTTCGACCTTTCGTTGCTTTCGTCTCGATTTTCCGATACATCCCCTTTCCTATTCCGGAGATCTAATAACCCGGCGACGAATTTCATCGACTATCTCCTTCCTTCGGAAAATCCGACCAACTTCGCGGCAGTGAACTCGCTGTTATCGGTTTCCTTGCGAGATCTCTTTTCGCGAATTAGCTATTCCATCTGTCTGTCTATCGGGAAGTTTTCTTCGAGTCCTCGATGAATCGATCCAGATTCGCGAAACGCGATAAAAATGTTCCCTTAGAGAAGACAATTTTACGGTTCAGATCCAAAGCGAAGAGGTGGAAATTCGGGTTTAGATTTAACAATTATCCAACACCATGAAATTTGTCAACGTATGTCAAATTGTAAGTCGTTTCCAAACGATGCATTTGTTTCAACCACGATCCCAGCGAGGTATGATTCTAACGATGTACGTTTTAGAGAGCTGGATCTAGCGGAATCGACGGTGGTCGTTCACACCGACTTGAACGGGATCTCTTTGACGAACTTGAAGGCGTTCTCGAGCAAAGCTGGGACCAGTCGCGAGCGAACTCGAAGATATGATTTCGATTATTGCTTCGACTCTTCCGATCCCGAGACCGAACATTTCGCGGACCAGGCAAAAATTTACGACGCTCTCGGCGAATCTGTTCTGGATGCTGTTTTCTCGGGCTACAATTCCTGCCTGGTGGCGTATGGACAAAGCTCGTCCGGAAAGACGTACACGATGATGGGAACCAAGGTATCCATTTTTCTTGTACACGTACAACTCCACGTTCGGTTCCCATTAATTCAGAAATAGTTGTAACGAAAGTTTTTCAGGCGATGACATATATATGAACATACTACTGTCTTTGATATTTCGAGCGAAACAAATAATCGACTAGAGCGAGGATGTGAACACAGCCTACCCTTCTTTTCGCGTAAGCACGATTTACAAGTTTGAGGGTATTGTTGCGAATGGTTAGTTTTTCCTGGAACTGTCTCGGCTAATAGCCAATAGCCAATGGCCAATGGCCAATAATAGACGACGTCGTTCGACATCAAGAAACAAACGAACAATCACGCGGGAACGTGACGCGTTCATGAACTCGCCAGGTGCGTCCTGTAATTGGCTGACAATCGGAACGCGATCTTTCTCTCTAGCGCATGGTTTCTCGTCGCGAAAAATTTCGAACAGTAAATTGAAATTGTTTTCGACGGAACGTTGGTTAATTAAATTGCCCTGTGGCTTGGTAGCCGTCTGCAAACGTGGAACAGAGGGTCAACGGTGGCTGCACATTAGGGGGAGGGGGTGTATGGCGTGGATTTTTAAAAGCTCGGCACGTGTCTCGGTTATACGTTCAGCACGTACAACCGGTTTCAATTACGAAAGGAGTCGTCCGATCGCCGCGGGGCATTCCGATGACTGATAGTTAACGATTCGTAATTTCCGAGGCGACCGCTATTCCGTATCTACCACCACTACTTTCCATCTCGCCGTCGGGTCTTTCTCCCTTTTTCTTGTTTCTTGTTTTTTATTTTAAAAATGGTTAACGTTCTTTCTTTCTGCTTTATGTTTTGCACAGGAGGAGCCAGGTCTCACGCCGCGGCTTTGCGAAGGACTCTTCTCCAGGATCGAGAGGCACGGAAAGTGCGGAAATAATTACTGCGTTTCGGTCAGGTAATTGCCGAAGCCTTGGAGTTCACATTCGGATAGAATCGGTTACATATAATTGCGTTGTAATTGGATAGTTTTTACACGCCAACTCCTTTGCGTTCGATAACTCGAAATTCAATTCAGGAAGTAAGATTCAACAAAGCAAACATGTAAGAATCTCGCGTATAGTTATTTATCGTAATTTCGACTTTTGAATCGGCGTGCAGTCGAGGTTCGACCAAGTTGGCGCGTGAATTTAATTCGATTGCAGTCTAACATGGACGAAAAGCATTATCCGGGCGATTTTGCGTCTGAATTGACAACTGTGGGAAACTTAACATTCGCGGCGTCTTTTGTGGTTGTGTACAAGGCACATCGACGAACGTACACCAATCACCGATAAAGGCATCGATGTCTCTCGGTCAAGGTCCGGTTATCGAAGCAATTTTGCCTATCGTTTTCGACAGACCGTGTTTCAGGCTCGTTTGTGCTGTCGATTGTCTGGATTTCGAACGTTCGATTCATTGCTGTGTAGCCCCTGTGTGCTTTAAGTTTTCCTAGCATTCTTGTGCAACCTACTGCCATCGAGTGATTTCGTGAAATTTCTCTCAGTGAATAATTTTGTCGGATCGATGACGCACGCGACAACTTTATCGTTTTGTGAAATTAATTTTCGAGCGATATTCGATCGCGGAAGTTTGTATTAACTGTATGAGAGCTAAATATCAAATACAACATTAACAGTTACTAGATCTAATCTTGTATGGACCTTCTAGTCCTCCTCGAGCTTTTGTCAGAGTATAGTAATAGTCGATCGCCATATGCGACTAGACCCGTCACCGCTGTTAATTGGCGCAAAGTTTGCGAAATCAGGACCGCGTCTAGTTAAGGAAAATATTGTTTGTCGGCTGGGTTGTGAGGTGCCCGATGCTGGAAGGGAGGGATAAACGTTCAAGTCGAGCTTAGGAGTCGCGAGCTTGCAAGCGCTGTTGGCCTGGATGTGTCTTGTAAGCTCAGTGCCCCGTGACTCGCAATCCTAGGCGGACGTCTAGCTGCACCTGGGTAACATTATTCGCGCCTTTACTCGGTGATGTTGTTTCACTCAGTGATCGGACGCTCGATTCGATCGCGTCGAGCATCGATTATATGAAAATTAATTAAAGAAAATACAACACCGATCGTAGACCGACTGCAATTTTGGTAAGAACCGTTAATATCTGTTCGAACTCACTTCCCGAACCATTTGCACTGTTCTGTTAGTTTATTAGGCGTATGTTTGAGTTGCTTTCATGGAGCGGAAGTTAGGTTATCGATTGCTCTTAACTTAGATCACACGTTGGCGTACACTGTAAACTACCTTGCGATGATTCACTAACGATTGCGAATACATTCTCAACACTATAAAAACGCGGTAGAAATAGTCTCAAGGCATAGAATTACACATTTTTGTCAAGTATCGTCTCGTTTTAAAATTTCTTCAAGCTCTATTGTTCTAGGGAAAAGACGAAATTGATGTATTTCAGTTTTTGCGAAGGAATGGCCTCCATAATCGAGGAGTGTCTTTGCGCTGCTTACCATTAGTAACTGGCCCGTGAATCATCCTATTGTTTCACACATCGTACATGCATATGTACGTACGTAAAGAAATAAACGACAGATTTACGCGTGTGTACAGGCAGAATCGTACGTCGCGTACGGTTCGCTTGAATACTATAAATTCACGTTTATACGATCACCGGCAGTTATTAAAAGTGCTACGGCGACTCGTTGTTCGGACGGGGACAAAAATATTCGTTCTGTCGCGGGCCGGTGTGTATCGTTGACTTTGAATATAAAGCCGCAGCCATCGTCATTCATGTTCCCCTTTCCGTGTTCGACGGAAATTCCCGTTCGCGCGTTGGATTTAGGAAGCGGAATTTTTTCGTACGCTAACGGCGTCACGGCGCGAAAACTAACTCCACAGTTTGTCGTGTTTACGATGCGACCGTTAATGGGCTCTCCGCTAAAATATCTCGAATATCTTTTAGATTAAAACGTATTCTGATAGCTCGCCAATAACTCCTGCCGATGGACCGCTTCGATGCGTACATTCAAAAATTTTAGCGCACAGAACTGATAGAAGATGACGATTTTCTAGCTTTTACGCTGGCCGAGTTACGATCACCGGAGAACACGATGTGACATACGCGCGTTACCCTGGAGAATTTCACGTGTCATACAATTTTTAGAGCAGGAGTTTCATGTTTTTCCAATCATATTGTTTCTCGTTTTCCAAGCGTTTCAGGAGTCATTCTCTGAAAACGGATTTTATCCTAAAGGTAATAGATCTCCTAGGTCTGAAAATATCGTTTATAACAAGAGAGCAAAACCTTTTGCATAGCTTGTAACGTCCGCTGTTTATGAGAAATTGTTCGGTTCGCAACTTAATTGTTTTCTGTTCGTATTCTCGAGTTTATTTGGTTCGTCTACGAAAAAGAACATTCTTGTGCGATAGAGATTAACTGCTGGTTCTGTGACGGTCTGTATCACCGGACGTTAGTACCGATGCCGCGATATCACGATCCCGTGAATCCGAACGATAAAATCCGATAGCGTTTTACACGCGGTTTGCGCATGATGGTCTGGAGGAGGTGTTGCACGCTACATGTATAAATAAGCAAGCAACTGGCTTTTCGTAGTCGTCACACTGACCTGTATTGCGACGATATTTCCGTATACGCGGCTGCTCGAGTAACAAGCATCATTGATAAATCAGGCAAGTCGTTTTATCGAGGTTGCGATCATCGTTTACGTTCGTAGACAAGACGGTCAAGTATTTACAAGTATTTCTGATGTGCCCCTAATTTTGCGTGATACGTAACAAACTTATCGACTTTGTATCAAAGGGGCCTGCCTCGATAGCCATCGAATAAATACAGGCAGGTAAAATTGAAGTAAGAGAGGTGCAGATATAGTTAGGCGAACCGCGGAATTAAAGCGGATCGGAAGTATGGAAAGAGCAGGACGAAGGGGGGAAACAAACGCCGATGGTAGAAAAAGAAGCCAAAATGTACGCGGCAAACAGAATTAGCAACGAGTATTTTCTGGCTCGTAGTTGCGTGCACTGGTGCGAAATGGAAAGGGAAAGGGAAACGAAGGCAATAAAAAAAATAGAAAAATTGAATGAATTTTCCAAAATGTACGCATAGATACTTCGTCAAGTTCACGGTCGTAGTGGGTAGTAAATCGTTCATTCTATCGAACGATTACGGCAAACGAGAAACAAAGATACATATTAGCGGCGTTGGTCAGATTTTGTTCTATTATATTTTATCGATTGGATTAGTTTCTTGGACGCATCCCAGTAAGTTGTGCACCTTGATCCTCGTCCGATGGAACACTCGTTAGAAATTATTAGTACCAGTAACGAGTAAGGTATGCAAAATTAACTCCATTATAATCGATAATAGGTAGTTTCGAAAATATGCCGGACACGCTGTTGTTAGACGGGCTGTAAATAAACTACGAAACGTGTTTGTAGGTTTATCAGTAGATGAAACTAGATTCGCGAGGAACAGTTTCTAGGTTGATTAACTGCTTACTCGTGAATATTTTCGTATCGTCTCCGAGCGTGTTCGACGCTCGATTGGCGCGTATTAACGCGCAACACGGGAACGCAGGGAATATGTACACGCCGAGGGGAGGCGAATCGATATTCTGGTTTTGTTGTGCGATTAATTATACCTATTAGCGAATCGTACTCGTCAATAAACGCGAACTGAGCCCGGGCATAATTTAATTTACGATCTAACAACGATCCTGTTACAACTGACGCGTCGTCGTGGTAAACGTGACACCCGCTAATATTGCGGGACAATTGCTGCGTTTCCTGTGTCGTTAATACTTCTACGATTCCTTTTTTCTTTGATCTCTGTACACCTTTAAGCATTGGCTTAAATGGACACGTTTGTGCGTAAATGATTCGACGTCCGGCGCTAATTGAACCAGTAGCCATCGTCATTAGGCATCGGCGTTCAACGTGATTAAGTCACCGAATTCGTAGACGATAGCATGCCGTGCCGTTCTTCCCATCCGCAATGAAACGGTAACCGATCAAAAGCTCCGCATTACTTATGGCTGATTGATCGATAGAATCCTCGCCTCCCTTTCGCTCTTTCCGCTCTTCCTTTTCCTACTCCGTCTTCTCTCTTTGCACGCGCGGAAGTTACGCTTCGGCTGCAAGCCCACGATTTCGACCATGATCGCAAATTCGATTCGATCTGCATTTCGTGGATTCTGATTGTCCATCGGTTGCTGTTTTTCGAACCACGCCAGTCCATCGAACGATCTCTCTTATGTCTAGTCAACAAGTTTTATAGCTAATCTTATTCACGAACAACGTGACATTTTTATTCCTCCTTCGAGAATAAAATTTGCCCGACTCTGTCCACACTTCCAATCATTCTAACACGAATTCGAAGATGCCCTGTTGTGGATACCGTCGAACGGAGAACATCGGTAAATCGAGGTTAAAACGGGCCGTGCAGAAGATTAAAAGCCAGGTCAACCAACTCTTGGCGAGTCTTTGTATGTAAAATCGAGCTTTCGGAACTTTTTTATGGGCTTTCGCGAGAACTAGCGAGCGGAAAACCGTTGTTTCTATGATCAACCTGTTCACCGGAGCTTGGAATTTTCGCGTGCATCGATTATCGGAAATAGCCGAGTCCACCGTTCGAGCCGCGCGTTCAAACATCGCATCCTGAAACAAAGGCTTCGAACTTGGAACGAGTTTGACGGTTTTAGAGGATCAGTCTCTTCGTTTTTTTTTTTCTTCTACGCGCCAATATTCCTTCGTAGATACGACGCCGATCGATTGTTATTCCGACACCGTTCGTTCGCGTAATGTCCGACAAGCACGAGAGCCAGCTTTCGTTTTCTCTCCTCGTCCCGACGCCCATTCGGTCTGCTATCGCTGCAATGAAAACGAGAGGCCTCGCGAGCCACTTGAAAACTTTAAACCCTCTAATGAACGACTTTCTCTCGTTTTTTTCCCCTCGAATTACGTTAAGTAACAGCGATTAACTGGACAGCTATTCCATCACCCTGCTTATTTAAAAAAATTGGCAGGAACCATGGAATTAATGGTGTGTTACAAATTAGATGACATTGGCAATTGTTTAGATCCCTTGGTAATTAAAGATGCATAGATTCATTGCAACGTTCGGAGACTTCGTTTCTCAAGAGAGCACACGTCTAGTGCAACGAGTAAAGAAACTTTTCTTTACATTGTTGTCACCAGGCAACTGTTACGTTGGTACGCTCGTTCGTTAATGGTCTAGTTTATCAACTGAATTTATCTAGCGAGCAACGCGGAAAAAACTGATGCGAAACAGAACGCGAGTTGAGCGTTTGGTGAACAAAAGTGTCTAGTTATCTTCGTGAAACTTTAAATAGCTTTTTCGCAGTTCATTCTGCAGGGTCGGGAGTCGCTACAGTGGTAAAAAACTCAAGTTAACAAAGAAACGTTTACTTTTTAATGGCGGGGCGAATATTCTTTCGAAACGTGATCTTTCTTCGCCGTAACAGGTTCCTGCGAATTTCGAGATCGTAAATGCAAATAATAGTTTGCTGGAAGTTTCGATCGTTGTTATTAGTTTGCCTCGAAAGCATAGTTATCGTGAAGTTTTCCAATCGAGAATACGGAGCGTAAATTTCTATTTAATTTATTTCAAATCGTCGTGTGCTTCATCCGTGTTACAAAAGAAGTAAAGTGACGTTACTAGAACGTACAAACATTTAGAACGTTGGAAGAGGAGGTAGAACTAAACGACGATTGTTTTTGTCGAGTAAAATTATATTGCAAGGAGGTTGTGATTGTTCGAAAGTTTTTAGTGTAAATCTGGACGAACTCGCGACTTGCTGCATTGCAAACGACTATTGTTTCCGAGATATCGGGGTTTTCGGGTCAAGGAAATCAGCGTGAACACAGGCGATTACGGGGATTCGTTCGATTTTCTAATTTCCGGAAGCGTGTTCATTAACGTATTTCTAGAATGGATGAGTATTTGCCGCGAGTGGTCCACCGGCTAGTAGTCGGACCACGAACGTCTCTATCTACTTCGAGTTCGGCTATTTATGTACTTTCAACGATCCGACATTTCTTACTACATACAGGGGAATCGAATGGGATGGATGCATAAGTCCAAGTGCAATATGTGGAGAACATTATTTCAGTATTACCGTACGTAGAAAATCTTTAGAATTAATAAATTGAGAAGAATCGAAAGCAGAGCGAATCGAATAGGGAGACAAATTTGTTTCGATAAACGGTTGAGAAACATTCTATTACCGGAACAGTAGGAGTTTCGTTGTGCAATTGTTCCGCCCTAAAGCGCGGTCGGCAGCTTCCAAAATCGAGAGAGTCGCGTAGAAATGGGAAAAAAGGGAAAGAACAGAAGCTGGTCGAAATCCAAGCGGAAAGTGTTTCTCCGGGTGCACGATGGAAACTCCGATCACTGTTAAGCGGATTTACGGTCGCACGTGCGGACGTTTTACGGGCACAACGGAGCAGATAATGACGTTAAGAGGATCCAGGAGTTTGCGGTTGCCCATGAACACCGTTCGGACGAAAAGTACGCGACCGGTAAATCTTCCTTTTTTGGCCCGTATGGTTTTCTGGCAAAGAATCGCAGTTGCATCGATTTGTTTAGAGCCTTCGAACACAGCAGAATATCGACTGTGCTTATCGAACGCCTATCTGAATCAAACGCACGCGATACCTATATTCGTACAACGTCTATCCGTAGGATATTCAAAATTAGTTATTCGGGTGATATTGTTATTAATTTGATGTCCATTTCAATGGACGAATATACATTTGTAAAATTATCACAAGTAAATCTATTAGCGGTAAAATTAATGCAATAAATCGCGGCTAAACTACAATATCGGTTGGATTTTGTTTCAGTTACCTGGAGATATACAACGAGAGAGTAAGAGACCTTTTGAAGCCGTCTTCGAGTACAAGCGGATTGAGAGTTCGCGAGCATCCTCGACTGGGCCCTTACGTTCAAGGTATCGGTAATTTCAGATGTCTGTTTCCCAACCTTCGTATTCCAATGATCACGATCTAATACCGATTGAGAAACTGATTAGTTATGTTTGTATTTTCAATACGAAATAACCGAAATAAAGAACAGGTGATGGGCAGCATGGCGGTGTAAATCTAGCGTTTGAGTTTTCTTCTCGACAGGTTTGACCCATCGCGTGGTCCGTACCCTGGGATCGTTGATGTCCTACGTGGAGGAAGGGACCAAAGCTAGGAAGACAGCGTCGACTTCGCAAAACCCGAACAGCAGTCGTAGCCACGCTCTGTTGACGATCGCCGTTTCGCCAGAGACGCCGAGTATCGCGGCCAACGCTGTTTATTCCTCCAAGAAGAAGCCACGGAAGCCACGCGGTGGCAGCAAGCTAAGCTTGGTCGATTTGGCGGGCAGCGAAAGCGCGGCCACGTGCAGCGGCGTTCATCGACTGAAGGTGAGTCATTCCCTAAAAATAATATCGTCGTCCCTAACCAGTGAACAAACAGGGATCGATAATCTTAGCGAACGTTTTTAAAGCAGGATCTTAAAAAAATAACTTACTTTTCAAGTCTCGATTACTCTGTTTTATCATAACATATGTCGGACGAAATGATCTAAGCATCGTTTTGTCTTATCCAAGAAGGCAAATGCAATTTCGAGAAAAAACGAAAAAAGGGAAAAAGAGAAGAAACTTGTGGGTGATGCGTGTGTTTGCAGGAGGGTGCGAATATAAACAAGAGTCTAGTGGCTCTAGGGAACGTAATATCAGCCCTTGCGGAGAGAGGCTCGGCCGGAAGTGGTCCAGGCAGGAGGTTCATCCCTTATAGAGATTCTTCGCTTACTTGGCTGTTGAAGGACGCACTTGGCGGAAATGCCACTACCATTATGCTCGCCAGTAAGTGTCTTCCCTTTGATCTTCCCTTCTTCTGCTCTCACTTTTCCTACCCTCGTGATCCGCAACCTCACCCCCTTGTTCCCTTCCTTCTTTATCGCGTTGCATTTATTTTTAGAAATTTTTCATCCTTCTCGCTCTCGCGTTTGCGCTTAAACGATGATTTACACGTTCAACGAACGGGTTTCTTTTCTCTACGAATTGTCGCTAATCCATTTCACGGTTCTTTACAGATTCTCCTACGGATCGTCTCGTTCCGTTCAAAACACAGTTACCACTCCATTTCGCACTTTTTCTCGGCTCGGTTATTTCACGATCGTGATACTTAATTTGAGAAGACGATTCAGCTTCCGGTACGAGACAAAAAAATTGGCCATCGCTTCTCTGCTCCCTCTCACCGGCTCTAACACCGTCTGTTCCGTTCCATTCACCACTTAACTCCAGCTTTCCATAAATTTCAGTTAATTTCCAAAGGAGAACTATTATCGCGAGCCTCTCTGATTCATGAAATTATACCCACGATACCGGAGCGCAGACTCAGTCTGGTTGGTAATTGGTTTAAATGCTTTTCCAGGCGAGCTAAGACGCGGCCGGGTTAAAATTCGATAACGCAGTAAACGGGGGCATCGGTAAATACGAAAGCTTTTTCAGTTTCTCGACGTAGCAGTTGCACCCCTCCTCGTAGCCACTTTAAAAGTCAGTTTTCGGAAACGTAAAAGTTGGAATATTTGTTCGTAGATTACTTGTAGACGAATAGATATAACTAACTGGTTAAATAGCCCAACGATGGACCAGAATTTCGATTTCTTCGCGAAATACTTGCGCACTTTATGTTTGTAAGCAGAAGGATCGTAAATTTGGTAGAATTTGAACGTAGTTAGACATCGCACGTAGACAAGATTCGATGTACACGATGGAAATTGTTGTTAAATATACTTATATGCACGGTGCGAGTTGAAAATCGAAACGAAAGGGGATGAACCTATTAAAGCTTTCCACAAAAAACAATATCGCTCCAAATTCTTGACTTATTTATTCACGTAGGGGTTTGTCCCTTTCCACACACACACACGCAAAGTATAATCGATGAAATAAAATAAAAAAATAAATTGCAATCGAGATACTATTTTTGCAGGCATAGTTCGATTTATTAGCTTTTCGAAAGTAGAGTTTCTCATTGATGGAATAATGTGCGAATTTGTTTCGTTTGAAATTATTCGATGATTCGACATCTACCGTAAGAGACCCCCTAATGCATTACAAAATATAATTAATGTCGGGTCTAGAAAAATGGTGAGCTAATTAGCTCGGCTGATGCCGCGGAAACGGAAGAATTACCAAATATTCCTACCTTGTTCAGGACGCGTATAATTAATCGCGGCGAAATATTCCAAACCGCTGATCATCGATGGCTAATTGAATTGCTAATAACATTCAGGTTTATTATCAGTGGAGGTTGGGACGTTTAATATTCAGTGTCTGTGTTTATGATTGACCGCGTATGGAACGGTAGATGGTCATCCTTCTCTTTCCCTCCTACAATTATCAATCCGGTTATAACACTTTGTTAAGCTGAATTATGGTGTAATCGATGACGTTTCCGTCTTGCGAAAAGTCGAATTTAAGAATCTAGGTTTAATATTGCCCATATTTATAATAAAACTTTAGAATGAAATTTCTCAAGAACGAAAGCCCACTTTGACGAACGGTATGAAACTCTTAGCGCACTAAGTATATACTGAAAATTACACCCAGTCGAATCCTAGAAGCGATTTTCACACACATGGACTTTCCTTCTAAGAATAAATATATTGAAACATTCAGACATATTCGGAGTAAATGTACTTGATACATTCAAATTTCCCTGTATTCTTAAATCTTGCTACAATTTACAGAGTGCAATTTTCTCTTATATTTCGAGAAACAATTTGAAATTCACAGCCATTAGCTCGGCGTTACTCGCGACCAAGAGTCCTTTTCTCGATGTTTGGTCGCGAGTAGTACCGATTACCAGGTCTCACCACGTGGAGGTTGCTGCGATTGGAGACCCGGAGGGACATGGATGGAATCCAAGTTCCATCTATCTCCCCCTTACATTCTTAGAAACTAGCGCGAGGTAGAAGATCGATCTTCTATTTTAGTTGTGCCAAGTAATTATTTTGTTGAGAGAGGGGTGAAGCTAATTTGAGGCAAACGCGACGCGATGCGAACCGAGTACCTGTTCAAAAGTGTCAGTTCCGTTGCCTCTTAGCAAGTCCAATCGAAGGGTAAGGGAATCGACGCACCCGACACAGAGGTTCCCCATTTCTCCCACGCATCCTGTTGGGAGCCCGTAGGACCCAACTCAAGACGACTGACTGAGAGAGGGAGCGTGTGTCGGGGCTACCGCAGACAGGAACAGTCCCTGATCCCCTCTGCGGCCGAAATACCCTTTCCCTTGGATCGTCTCACCAGAGGACGATAACTGACCCTTCGGAGCAGCTAAACGGCCGATCACTTGCTTTTACATGAAGCAGCGGTGATCGAAGCGAGAAACGAAAGAACGTGAAGCTAGTTTGTAAAGGATTACTTGGCACATACGTACGCGCGCGCAATGGGTCGTCGGAGCCTATGTCTAAATGTACCAAGCAATTATTTTATTGAAAGAGGGTGAAGTTAATATGAAGGGAAACGCGACGCGACGCGACGAAACTCGATCACATGTTTCAACCGATGAAACAGCGGTGATCGAAGCAAGAAACGAAAGGGCGAGAGAACGAGAAGCAAAGTTAATAATTGCTTGGTATCGCGGCCTTAAAAATAAATTTACTATGGTAATAAAAGTCCCTCGATGTCCCCCGATGTCCTTGCGTTGTCGTCTGAAACAAACTAAGAAAGGTTGCATTTGCGATTAGTTAGAGTCAAATATAATAAATTGGGAAATACGAAGACCTGAAATAAAATAAATGGGCCCAGATAAATCAGTATATGTAAAAATAGACATGAACAGGAACACATTCAGAAAGAAGAGGCCAGAAGTGAAATACGTAAGGACACCAATTGAAACCAGTGAGAAATGGATATCATATCACTCACCACTGTGACGATAGTGGTCAGTGAAAGAGATTTATACGTGCAATATGTAATATGCATCGAACAAACCAAACAAGGAGCAAGTAGTGAAATATGGAAGAGAGTGGAGAAATGAAAACGAGACGAAACCCCACATACAAGCCCAACAGACGCCTGAAGATCAAGAAAGAAATTCCAAACGGTCGGTGAAACAAATTTATATGTGGAATATAAAATGTGCACCAAACAAATCAAGCCAGAAATGGCACATTCAAGGCCAGCAGACATGTAAATTTCGGAATAGAAATGGTAGACGTGATATTCTGATAAACCTCATCCCTGGTCAGCAATGGTCAGTATTAATCAATACTGGACAATCATTCTGACAAGACCTCACGAAAGGTCAACCGTGGTCACTAGTGACCACTACTGGTCAGTACTGGTCACTATTGACCCCCAGAGATCGCCAGTGGCCAGTTGTGGGCAGTAGAAGTGGAGCGCAACCCTACGACGCTCCGCCATGTCCGGCAGCCTAGAACAGAAAGAAAGAGCTCGCCGCTTGACAGTTCAACGCTTCCTTGTGCAGTAGAGTGAAACGGGTGGGGATGACTGTCCTTGACGACATCACCAATCAATCAACAAGGAACCGTTACTTCGGCCGATAAATTAATATTCTATGCAAAATGGTATTAAAAACAATTATTTGTCCAACACCTGCTATCCAGCATTATTTTAACTATTACCTGATGTTAATTAATAATTGTTGCAATCAATAGGAATGAAAATATGGTCAAATTCGAGGAGGCTGAAGGTTTGTATGAATTTCTATCGAGAACCAAGGTCGTACATAACGTGTTCGTTTCTTCGACCTTCTGTCCACAATACGAATACTTTCTTTTGTACAAGTTTTCATCTTTCTATCGCTGCTATTACTATTTATTCTCACTCTAGCACTTTACTATCTTCGTTGCATTTGTTATCAGAAAATTATACAGGATTCTAACAAACGTAAAATGCGTCACTGCAATCGCGAAACGATGTGTCGCAACACCCAAGAGAACACAGATTAATGGACACGAAGAGAAGTTGTGTTATTACTTATATAATTGTCTTATTGTGTTGTAAATACGGATCAAGTATCTGTAGAAGCGTACGACGACTCTGTACCATGAACCGAACAAATTAATTCCAGCGAATTCTCTCTGTTGTAATCGTTTCCAGCGATATCACCCGCCAGTAGAAGTTACAACGAAACCGCACACACGCTGCGGTTCGCGCAAAGGGCGCAGAGCGTGGTCAATCGGCCGGTGGTCAACGAGGATCCCGTGGCGAGGGTTATTCGCGAGCTGAGGACCGAGGTGGCGAGGCTGAAGTTATTGATGCTGGAAAAGGCAAGCGCGTACAACTGAATTATGCTTAGACAATGCCGTCATTCCGGGATAAGCATGAAAATTGAACAAAACATGGAAGCGAAGCGGAACGTAAAGTTTCTATCGCCGCGTTTAAACGTATATTTTTATGAAGAGGCGACGGGACGCGACAAATAAGAAAATAAATTGGTCAACATCCGGTGAAACGTTGGATCAGGTATTCAGAAATTAGCGAACGTCTATTTATAATGGTAGTTTATTTGCGATCAGCCGGTAGCACGGCCGCGCGTTGCCTAGAACGAGTCATTCGGGCGAAAATAAATCGTGTAAGTTTATTATCGAGCATTGGGAACGCAAACTCGCGCCGAACCGTCATTACGCAAATGAAATGCACGAATCGTTTATTTGATACTCATTGAGCGACCACCGAGCGTACCCGTTGCGATTGCTCGAGCGAACGATTGCTGATAAAACACGGTTTGCAGGTGCGCACGCTTAATGAGTGATCCGTATTTTCAATCGGTCTATCGGACTTGTTAGGATTTACAGTATTCTTCGGTTCTCTCGCATTATGTAATCGATCATTAATTCGTTTAGTCGATTCCCACCAATGGAGGGGATTCGTAGGGCAATAATTGAAAGGAAAGAGAAATACCAGCAACTAGGGTAGTGGGCCCGTATTAGTTTCATATTGATTTTAATAAAAGAAATAAGTTAAATTCTGCCGCAATGGGCACTCCACTATCCTAGTCTGATCGATCTAATCGAGTACGATACACGTTCTGTTTTGCAGAACACCGAGGCGAACAGCAACGCGTCGTGTTCCTGTCGGAAGAATCATTCGATAGCTCAGATAGATGCCCTCGAGGACGAAAGATCGACAAAGGAGACAGAAACAATATCTTACGGGCAATCCAAGCAGCGGATCGTAGACTCTAGATTCGAAGAACGTCCGTCAGAAAGGAACGTGGACGAAGAGTGGAGTTCGAGCAGCGTCGTTCCAGTTCGAAGATCTAATTCTACCGAGGATATTGTTGCATGCGAGGCTGCTTTTTCCTTAAAACGGTTTGGTTCGTGCGAGTTCCTGGCAGCGAGAGACCGTTTCGCGAGTAATTATAATCGTGCTAAGGTAACGGAATTGAACGACGAGGGCGACGAGATCGGCGAGATCCACGAGTCCGTGTTCGTCGACATCCCCACGCTGGTCGCGGTTCTGATCAAGCCGGACGACAGCTTACAAGATTCGTCGGCGCAAATAGAAGAGATCTGCTCGGACGAAGCGGTAGAAGACTCGATCGATGGTGAGTTTATCGAAACCAGCAATGATCGAGGAGCGTTCGAAGACCCGGATAAATCGGAGAGCCCCGTGAAATCTTGTCGCGAGACGTACGTTTACCAAGCCTCCGAATTCTCCCACTTGAAATCAGTCTCGAATCTAAAAGAGAAACGAAAATTCTGCAAACAAGACTCGGTGGACATAGTTTCGTCGAACCTGCAGACATCGAAGAAATTCGGCTCGGTCGAGATCATCCAGAAGAAGAAGGAACCACTTTTCCCGTTGGAGAGGTCCCATACGAATTTGGAGAAACGTTCCATAGCTCCGGATAGGGTCAAGAAGCTGAACAATATCCGAGAGATCGACGATCGAAATAATAGCAGGAACGTCTGGAAAGGGAGCAAGGAACAGCTTCAGAGGAAAAGCAGCAACGACTCGGACAAGAGTCTGAAGGAAGCTGTCGGGCAGGTAGAAGCGAAATCGAAGAATTATGCGAGAAAGACTAGCTTGGAAAACCTAAAACGGAAGACCAGCAAGGACAGCAGCTCGAGTAGTTCGAAAGACGAGCAAATCTTGATTTCGAGTTTTACGCGGGACAAACTGTTGCAGAGAAAGAATTCTCTTGAGCAAGAATTGCCGTCCACCAGGGCACACACGCCTATACAGCGCGCCAAGCGATCGGAAATCGTGGCAGCGGTCACCCAGAGGCTCTACGCCAGCAGAAAAGCCGCCGAAGATGCTTCCGGGGTACGAACTCCGCCGGAGGGAACTGATGCCAAGTTCGTGGCGAAGATGAAGCTCCAGGAGATCTCGAAAAAGATGCTGGGCAAACGGAGACGCGTTTGCGTGGACACGCAGACCGACGTCTCGCCCACTGTTCGAACAAAGGACACTGCATCGTTGACCGAAACGCCTCTGGTGGTCCACCAGGACGTCGGAGTCCTGACCGACGACCACGAGGCTTGCCAGTCGTTCGACAATAAAAAAACACCAGTACTTCGAGTGAAAGAGATCGCCACCTTGACCGACAAGCCGAAAACGAGCATCGTCCGATGCAGAGACGTCGGCAGTCTGGCGAACGATCTCGAGGATCGCGAGTACGAGATCTACTCTCCTCGTAACGATTCGGAGATTCTGTCCGACAAGAGACAAAACTACGCGGAGAGTAATTTGTCCGAGCTTCGCCAGGAGACGGATCGAAAACCGATGCGCATCGAAACCTCGACCAACACGATCCGCTCGTCCTGCCGCAGCTTCGCGGTTCAGACGCCGTCGTCGCCGCCGCCACCGCGTCTTGACGCTTCAAACACGAAGAGCGAAGCTCTCGTTTGCTCGAGACAGTGCTGCAATCCCGACAAAAGCGTTATCTCTATATCGTTACCCGACACGATCAGCATCACGATCGAGACCACGAACGTCTTGGAGTCGAGAATAGCCCTGATGGACAGCCCCGATCGGGAGAAGTTTAAGTCCGACTCAAAGGACGGCGAGGTTCAAACGGACGAACCGAGCGATCTTCGCAACGAGATATTCTGTCCGCGAGACCTGGCCAGATCGGCGCTTGGTCAGACCGACAGAGTGTTTAGGATCGAGAACATCTTTCAGGACCCTAACAACGTATCCAAGGGCTCGAAAGCGGACGTGGCCGCAAATCGAACAGAGGGGACTAGAATGAGGAATTCCATTACTCTGAGGAATTCCCTCGGGACTTCGTACGTGTCTCAGTGTACGGAGGCCGGGGACGATGGCTCGATGCCGCGCGGACGTCACGGCGAAGGATTTATCAGGGACGGATTAATCACGGAGGCGTTCATCACCAAGAAGCGTAGTTTTAATTTCAGAAAAGTGCCCGGTGTTGCTGTTTACGACGACCCGTGGACCAGTTGGCTAACCCCTCGCCCTGTAAATAAGATCCGTTCTATCCAAGTTATGCCAGCGGTAGGTCTGTCTCTGTCTGGCTTTGAAAACGACGCGATCAACGATACAGGAACGTCAGAAATTAAAACCTCCCCGTGCACCGTGTTAGAAACGAGTAACAACGCTGAACACGATCACAGTTTCTCGGACGACAGTCTGGATTACAACGAGAGCAACGCGTTCAACCAACCAACGCCCTCGAAAGAGAAGCAAGAGGATTCTCACGAGCTGCGGGAGAGTCTGTGCCCCCCCGATGTCGTGGCGCATACAAAAAAAGATAGTTCGAGATCCTCGAGCACGGCCGACGTCGAAAACATCGAATCTGTCGGTGACATCGACAGCAACCTCCACGTGAAATTACCGAAAAAGAACCAGTCAGAGTCGATGGAAGTCACGCAGATACACGATTACGAATCCTCGATGTTGACCAGACCATGCTTCGATTACCGAACCGTCGATCAAGAGTCCCTTGCTTCGTCCAATCGTGTAAATAGCTCTGATAAAAAGAAGGTGTCCTTCTCGAGTTTCAGCGTTCCCGGAAAGAGGCTAGTTCAAGCCGAAGATTGCTCGAACCAGGAATCACAGATTATATTAAAGTCCATTATCAAGAAGAGGAAGAAGAGAAACTCGCCAGAGTCGTCGAGTACGGTCCAATCATCCAACGACGAGACCGACGATTCTCAGCAAGAAGAGAGGAGCAGCTTGGCGTCTGAGAAGAATTGGAAAGAGCAAATACCGTCGAGCAACTTGGAGAAAACGTTGAAGGAAGGTCTGGGTTCGGAGGACTTTCGAAACGAGTCGAAACAGAATCGCAAGAAAGTGAAATTTTCCGTGGAGAATACGTCCGAGAATACCTGTAGTAGCGAATCGGAGAGCTGCGAGAATACGGAGGACGACGTGGCGAACGTTTCGTTCGACGGAGCAACGAGGAACATCCTCGAGGAGTATCTCAGCGAGGCGACGGCTTACATACGGAATTTGAACTCCATCAATGAGTACGTGAACGTCGCGGCCATGCTCGAAAGGTAATAAATAACAGTGAATAGTGCTAATTTTACATGTTTGTACAGTATCTTCTTTTTATCCAAAAATATTAACAATTCTGGGAGTTCTAACTTGATTTATGGCTCTTGTAAAACAGATGCTTCATCGGCCTCCACGCTAATTTGAATTTTGCAGCACCCATATACGTATATTCAAAACAGTTGTTTACTAAAACCGAAACATGAAAATTGATTGATTTTTCCTTAGGTACACCGCACCCATGCCCGCTGACCGCAGCAAAAAACGAGGGCCCCGTCGAAGGAGTTACTCCACTGCCAGAAATCGCGATTACGTGGAATTTGTAGGCCGTAGGGGTAGTTTAAAGAACGACACCGATATTTTTTCGAAGGAGACCGACGACGTAGCCATTTCTACGGAGTCGTACGAGAAGTGCCTGAAGGGAATTCAGAGGCTAGAGGGTTGTATACGGAGAGTCGACAGGCACAACGAGCTGCTTCGAGAGAAATACGGTGTCGATTGGGAATCTGCTGGCGCTAAACTGGGTTTAGCGAATCCTAGCATAGATACTCGTACACCTACGGCGAGCAACGAGTTTCTGATTTCTCGCGAAACGGACGTTCCCTTCGTTTCTAAAGACTTGGCCGGCTCGCGGCTCGTTGATCTCTCGGACGGAGGTTTGGGTGATGAAAATGATATTTTTGAGAATAGAATTTTTCATCGATCGATGAACGCGGCCAATTCGACCCATTATCCAAGTTTCGGAAAGCTACCGAACCGCTTCTTCCAGCTGTCCGATCTTAGGTCACAAAGTTCCGTCGGTTGTTCGGAATTTCTGGAGAAGCACGATCGTGCGACCAAGGTGCCATTTTCTGGAGACGTTCATGGAAGTTTCGATCTCGACGAGAGTTCGCGAGACAACGACGAACCGCAAGACTTCACCAGGTACGAGATCACGGGAAATTTGTCGGTAGAGAGTGCTGTTGCATCGACGAGAGGGAACGTTGACGATGATTTAGACTCGATAGAGGAAGATTATTTACCTTTGAGAACATTCGATCGCGCCTCTTGGTTAGCCAAGCCGACAAAGACAAGCGGATGCGACAATTCTTTGAACAGTTTCTCTAAAAGGAGCTTGAAGATCGACTCGGGAATCGTTGACAGTTACTCGATGAAAAGGCCGACTTTAAAGACTAATTTTCCAGTGCAACGCGATTGGATCGACGGCACTCGAGAACGATGGCACGAACTCGACGATTATTCGCGAAAATTCAGAGACTGCGACTCGAAAGTGCGCGCGTGTTCGAACGATCAGTCGAACGTCGAAAGCTCAATAAACGAAATCATGTATTTTAGGGACAAACTGAAACAACCGGGAAGCCCCAGAGCGCGATTCCTGGAGCTTCTGAGAGAGAGACGACGGATTGTCGAGAGTAGCAGAGGCACGAGTGTCTCTTGAACGTCGTTCCAATCGTCTCCTCGAATTGTAAATTGTATTTGTTACATATTTTTCTATCGTGCAGGTTCTGCTATACAAATTAATCCTTTTGCAAATCATATTCACTCGTTGACTGACAAAATGATATTGTATTACTTTGCTCTCGAGTCACCCATAAGATAAATTTTATTTGTAAAAAGGTTAATTTGGAGCGTGAAACCTGTACCACATTGTAAATAATAGAGTCAGACTTTTGTAACGTTCGTCGATGTATTGGAAGACTTTAGTAATCGTTTAGGACTTTGAAACTTAGACTTGCAATACCGTTTCCCGATAAGCTCTATTTTTTAGAGCTCTTAACGTTTATTGATCTTCATTCTTCCCATCCTTCTGTATCAGTCATGTAACTCTCCCTGTTCTTAATATTAAAAGGCCTTCCTCGAAGTTGTGCATTTTTTTTACTCTTCGGCGACACAAATGTTCTCCTCGTAGTCTATTAACGAATGCATAAATCGAAGAGGAGTCGTCGATCGACAGGTTGACCAGAGTTTCAAATTATCTGTAGGTCAGCGCGGTCCGCAACAGAGTCTGCTTAGAATAACGAATTGATTAAATAAACCTTCATCGTTATCATGACCTTAAGCAATATCAGCGCGAAGTGCAAGGTCATTTTCGAAGAAAGCAAATTGCAGAACATCGAACAACGACGAACGAGCCAAGGGGAACGCGACGAGTAGAAAACATTTTCCAACGCGATAATTTCCTTTCGCTATCGGAACCGTTCAAGTTCCATCGGCCTAGTCAGGGTTATCTTCGACGGCAGCGTTCCTTCGCAATTGTTATTTACGAGGGCCAGTCGATTTTGGGCCGCCTCGGAGCGCAGTTCGCCGCCAAACAGACGAAACCAGAGCAGAACGCAGCTTACGCGAAGTCGATCATGGTTCGTTTGCGTTTACGGTTCGCGATACGTCAAGGAAAGTTCGTCGATCGAGCCGTGCACGATCGTCGCCGTACGAGTTCGCGTCACGAGACACGCGAAATTCACGAGACGTCGGCGATCTCGTTCTGGTTCGTAAAAATCTTTTCTCGTAAATCAAATAGCGTTGTCTTGAAAAAGAAAAATGGGACAAAGACATACGGCATTCGCGACGAATGCGACGACGGAAGAATTATGACAATCACGAGACTTTGAGTTCTCCGTCAGACGTAAATGGAGGTCGAAGGTTATCGCGATAGTCAACGGCATCGCGATACGAGACCCTAGCGATTCAATAAGTAACTCGAGCGAATCGCGAGTGTCCATAGTTGATATTCAATGCGTATCACGGTGTTCAACAAACGATCATGAGAGACCTAAACAAGAAATTGAATTCGCAGGACTCGATGAACGGTCACGCGTACGATTTGATCTCCAACAACGATCTCGACTCGTTAAACTCTCATGTAATCACTATTACGTCAGTCTTTATAGAGGGTAACTTGTAACAAAGATTACCCAATCGTCTTTATCGTGGCGATCGAAGAACGGAGAAAATCGGAGAGAAATAATCAAAATGCGATTAAAGTTGCGCGGAACGAGCTTGACGATTCGATCGTCGTTGGAATACGTCTTGTTCAATTGTCTCCGGTTCTTCAAACATCAGTTCGCGATACTATCTTCGATCGTGCACGGTTTCCATCGAATCGAACGGACTAGATCTCGAGAAAAATCGTCGATAGCAATGAATCTCTTTCCACAAGACGACGAGGAGGAGTCATTGGTTGATCCGGCCTGCTTAAAAGTCAATCCACAACAAATTACGTTCGAGGACATCACGTCGGCCGCCTTCAAGATCAAGTTTGGCGTGGTCAACACTCCCTGCGTGGTATGATTTCTAGCTTTGTACGAGCAATTTGTTGCATGTTAAGAACTTTGTTGCAGCTTCGTTCGCAATTAGAGATACGTTTTCATTTTGTCAGCGATCGCATCTGTCGGACATAACTGCCATGGATCTATACCTAAAGAAGGACTTTCTGCAAACGACTGGAAGCTTTAAAGAGCGAGGGGCGCGATACGCTCTCGTGCAGCTGTCGGACGAACAGAAGAAAATAGGCGTGATATCGGCGTCGTTAGGCAATCATGCCCTCGCTCTTTGCTATCACGGCTTTAAACTAGGAATAACGGTGACAGTGGTGATGCCGGTTGTAGCACCGATTATGAAGATTGCGGCCTGCCGGCAGTACGGTGCGAACGTGATTATCGATGGATCAGATATGGGAGAGGCCAAACGAATCGCCCTTCAATACGCCAAAGAAAAAGGATTAACTTACATAAACGGGTACGACAATTTAATAAGTACAATTAACAGCTACGACTGTTCTCTTCTCGATAAAAATTCACTGCGTATTTTGTATTCCCTACATTTTCTACAGTTTCTGCAACTAATCTACGTTTCAGATATGACAATCCAGACATTATAGCGGGGCAAGGAACGCTGGGCCTCGAAATAGTGGAACAAGTATCGGACATCGACGCGGTGATTGTTCCGATAGGAGGGGGTGGTTTAATCGCCGGCGTGGCGTTGGCCGTGAAGACTCTTCATCCTCGCGTAATGATCATCGTAAGGCTGTCATTTTCTACCACCGTTCGATTGGAAGTATTTTAGGGTTTACCACTTTTTCAACTATCGTAGTAGCAGCCAAATTCTTTAAATTTATATCATGCCTTCGCAAATATGCGGCGCGAGCCACCGAACGCGTTAACCATTTACCCCGTTCAAAGCTCTCCTCTCTTAGCTTTCATTCTTTTTTTCCTCGATGAAAAATGTTTGAGGGAGCGTTCGTCACTTGAGCGTTTATCCCAAGTTCTTTTTTTTCTGCGTTTCAGGGCGTTGAATCGGAAAGGTGTCCCAGTTTCTATGCGGCAAGAAAAGCGGGTCGACCGATATACACCCCTATAGAGTCCACTTTGGCCGACGGTCTGGCGGTTCCCATGGTCGGATACAACGCCTTTGCCACGGCGAACCCGTTGATCGACAAATTGGTCGTGGTAAAGGAGGAGTGGATAGCCATTGCGATCTTGAAGTTGGTCGAAAATGAAAAGTGCATCGTCGAGGGTGCTGGCGCGACCGGATTAGCGGCTATTCTGGCTGGCCAGCTGGATGAGCTCAAAGGGAAAAGGTTCGTTGATTTTTTTTTGACAATTGTTATACAACGTACACGTTCCGACATATGTTTATCTCGGAGAATTATCCTCAATACGATCCAAGTATTTGGTTATTAGATTCCCAATAGTAACTTGTATTTTCTTTCCGTAAACGAATTAGGGTTGTGTTGCCCCTTTGCGGAGGAAACATCGACACGACCATTCTCGGAAGATGTCTAGAAAGAGGTCTGGCAGCGGAAGGTCGCCTTTTGAAGTTTACGGTGACGGTGTCCGATCGACCGGGCGGAATCGCAGAACTCTGCAGAATGCTGGCCGACATCGGTGTTTCGATAAAGGATATCATGCACGAGCGAGCTTGGATCATGTCGGACATCTTCAGCGTGGACGTAAAGGTAGTCTGCGAGACTAGGGACAGGAATCACGGGGAGCAACTGAAAAACATGTTGCACGAGAATTATCAGAGAGTCGTTTTTGGTACCAGAGATATATCAATCCTAAACGTGTAACATGCAGATTTCGTGAATCGAGACAGCGAAGAGAAGACGAATTTTGCATTAATTTTCAATTCTCCTGAGACTATCCTCAGCCGAGAAACAGGTACAGAGACGATAGAATAACTATTTCATAATTATATGCCACCACACGGTTACGTGTTGCGCGCGATGCTTCCGGTTTAGGCGCGATATGATTGGGTTTTTGCGTAAGCGACCGATCGTAAAACGCGCTTTTACGATCTTGATTACGGTGCGACACCGAGTGCGGCTCTTATTGCTCGACGAGAGAACGTGTTTAACAACTCTGAGCTGCTCGTTCCAGGGAATTGCGTATTTTTGTAGGCAGACGAAACGCGAAATGCACATATTTGAGGGAATACCAGATGCGCTCTGACCCGGTCAAAGGTCGACGATTTGCGATTATAAAATTTGTTGCATAGTTTATTCCAATCAAAACAAGTGACGTAATTACGAATAAATATGATTACATAGTTTTATGAAAGCGGCGTAAACTTGACGGACAATTTTCCTGATATCGATGCATTTTTCCGGATCCCTAAAAAAACTGCTGTTGTAGGAATATCTATAATAATATTTCTCGTTCTAGTTATTCGTAATTAATTGTTCGTTTCGCACAAAGAAAAAGCGAGGAAGAAGTATTATTCTTTAGTTTGAGTAAATTCTTTTCCGTTTGCTGGAGAAGAAAGTGAGAAGGACGTCGGAAGCTTCTTTAGAACATTCACGATAGCGCGATAATATTATTTCGCTTGTCTCTTTTTCGAAGAAACGGATCTTAATATTACTCTTGTCGGGTCAATTTTAACCAGGTCGTGGAAAAAGCATTTTCCTCGGCTGGAAAAATAAATTCCGCGTTTTCAACGAACCTTCTTGCGTTTCCGCCCGAGTATTTCCATAAAGGACGCGGCTGTCGGGGGATTAATGTATCTTTACGATGCTTCCACTACGGTTTCGTTACGTTGCCGCCCCGAAGAATATATCGTACGTGTTACACCGTTCGCGGGGGGGACGCGAGGGTAGATAGGAGAACGGCCTATCGTAAAAGGGGCCGACTTCTGAAGTTCCTTTCAGCCCCGGTTCACAATACATGACGATATGTCACCTTTCTAATATCGGACTACTCCGGATGAGTTACGACACGTGAACCATCCAGAGAGGGAAGCTGCGAGCGTGGCTCCCAGCAACGAAACATCCTTTCTTTCTCCGTCTTTTCACATCGCCGGTGTTTCAGACGCTGGGGAACAGAAGGAAATGGGACAGAGAAAGAGAATTGGAGCAACGTCGCGCGTCCCCGGAAAACTACTTCGTTCCATATATCAATTTCGTCCAAAGAAATCGCGAAATTCGGGAACGTCGCTCCACAGGAGAATAATCTTCGACCGTAGATTTAACGTTTAAAGTAGCTGATCTACTAGTCGATCACTTTGCGAGGAACGTCGATTCTTTTAACGAAAAACTGTCTTTAAAGCGAACAAAGACAAAGAGGTTCCTTTTAAATTAACATTATTGAAAATTAGTAGGTATCTTAAAACTGATCGATTATTCGGTTAACACTTAATTTTTCGCGTTCTCCCTAACATTCGGAATTATGGCTGTTTTCGACCGAGATTCAACTTATACCGATTTTCCGAGGATACGGATTAAGGGCGGCTCAAGTTTTCGGTAAAATTTTTTCTAGCCTTTCCTCCTCTCCCTTACTTTCTGGCCTCTCACAATTCTTCTCGTTTTCGGAGCGAGGGAGAAGTGCGGCGAAACGAAAACGAGAAAGAGTACGGTCGCGCGCGCGAGAAAAAAAATGGGGGAAAGTGGCGGCGGCCTGAATTTACAGCATTTAATATCGGCAAAATGAAGTACGAGCCCGGACCGAAAGCGGGCAAGGAGCCGCCATTTTGTGGCATCGATAAATCCATTTTATTGCCGTGGCTTGTAGGTGGGCGGTCTGACGCCGGTTACGCGCGCGTTGCCTACGCCTATGCCTTTTCGGTGTATAACAAACAGCGAATAAAAACTAATATGAGGGCTCGCGCTACCACAGTCTGCCACCCTCGCTTTGTGCACCAAAACGACCAACTTTTTTCCCAGTTTATTTCAGGCAGTTGTTCCTCTCCACCGGTGGCACCGATATGTTGGGGTTGGTAGGTACTTTGGACTAAGAATTGCTTCACAGTTGCTTCGCGACTGCTTCCATCCTAACAGCAATAGCTTTTTTAAATACATTTCGAAAATTAACCAATATTTTTGACATCGAACTAGCATCCGTGAGGTAAAAAATACGCGTAGAATGTCCACGATACGATCGAGTATCGCAGAATATTTGGAAGTTTGGAAAACTGTTGAATTTTTCAGAATTAGTAGGAGCAACCGCTTGGTCGTTGGTAAGGGCCAGGGAAAGGATTTTCGAAGAGCGGCAGGGCCAGAGTTTTCCAAGATGAAAGTTAATTCCGGTGGATAATCCAGCTTGAAAGGGGAAGGGGGAAGGGGGTGGGCGTAATGAGAGCGAAGAAAGATCTCCCTTCTCTCAGTTCCCCTTCCCTCTGTTCACTATTCCTTTTTCAGCTAAATCTTGGAGCGGATCGAGAGCTTCGCCGAATTTATGAGATTTCGGCTTTCGAAGGGCGGCTAGTCCGAGAGGAAAAGAGAAGGTGGGGAAACAGAGGGCGATGGAAACTCGGTGGAGGGATTAACTTTGTCGAGCCATTTTGTCGACCGCGAGCGAGCTTTGTGACCGGGAGAAGACACATTCCCAGCAATTAGCTAGCCTCCGTGTCCGTCTGTATGTGGCCGATGTATCTATAGAGCGTTTCTAAAGAAGCGTAGATAAATTTTGTGATTTATTCTGCTTTGTCCGAACGATGAAGTTTCTTGTTCGCTTTTGTGCAATCGAGGCACTCGACATAGTAATTATAATACCACAGAACGCACAGGATTGTTGGAATGAACACCCTTCCTATCCATCAATTCTGAATTCGAATTGCTTAGAAATTTATCGATCTTAGTGTAGATAGCGAAAGGAATCGATTTTTCGAAGGTGCGAGACTAGAATACCCCCTTAAGGAGGGACGAGTACGGCGCATTAATTGTCGTTGCTTTTGGTGAACCATTTTTAAAGAGAGACTCCTCCGTTGGACGAAATTTCTTCCTTCCGACCAGGATTTATTTACCCCTGGTTAATTTCACGAGGGAGCAGACGGCTTAAAAACTAATAAGTAACGTCTACAGAGAAAGACCTTCCCTTTTTCTTCGTTTCGTAGTCGGGGTCAAAGGCGGGCGTAGAATTCTTGACGCCCTTCGCTTAAGGAATCTTCGCTTAAGTCTCTGACGTAGAAATATTTGTATTCTTCGGTGGAGCGATCCAACGACCGTATTACGCTTAGTTGTGTACAAAGCGGCAGGAACTCTCTCGGCTTTCGTCGAAGAAAGGCAAGACAAGACTGTTTTTATTTTATTTTTTTCTTAACTTCTTAGAAGACCAAAGCCTTGGAATACGGGCCAATTAATCTGCGCGTGGATTCGCTTCTGGTAGCAACCTTTTCGTACGGTCGTTTTCTCCTTCTTTTATGCTTTCCACCCTTCTGTTTCTGTATAGAATGTTTCTGAATCGGAGACCAAATTTGGACGTACCGTATTCTCTTCGTCGGAAGGATGCGAAAAGTTTTATGAACGTCGGAAGCTGTTCTCTCTCAAGTTATTTGCAACAAAGTTTTGTAAGAATGTCAGGCGAGTTCATAAATTACAGGGAAACAGTCTGCTGCTATATATTCGGGATCAGATTCGGTTCGCGCATAATGAAGTTCCTTATATCGGGTCCGGGTTAGGTCCCAAAATTCCATAGATTGTCATTTGTCATTAACATTTGCATCATTTAAGGGGTCTAGCAATTTTTAGTCTTGTGTTTCTTTTTGAAACTATTTCTAGATTGGAATGGTCCTTTAAATCACCTATCGTTCGAGGAATGAATCACGCAGTGTTCAGAGAATCGCCGATTCGGCATTAAGTTAATGGAAATGCAGAGACAGAGGGTGTAGGTGCGCTATAAAATCGAGCAACAAGGGCTAGGGGATTAACTAAAGTCACTCCTTGAAAATCCTCTAATTAATACGATGTTAAGGGGCGCTCGATGAAACGGTTACGGAGACGTCAACTCGGAGAAACTTTTTCCAAGGGTGAAGAAAGGAAGTAAGCGAATCGAAAGGGAAAGTTCCAACCTGAATCCGAGTCAGACTCGCTGACAAATTTCGCGATTTTGTTAAACGAGCCGTCCCCCCTGATCGTCTCTAATTTCAAAATAGGTTACGAGCGGCCGTTGGCTGTGTTTTCGCAAGTTTCAACGGGGTTTTCGAGCGACCATTAAAACTTGACGGTGCCCAATTTCGCGGAGAAAACTTTTCACCACCGAAAGGAAAATCCGTATACCGTTAAGGCCACTGTCGATCAAGCTAACGACCAAAATATAATAGTACATTCTCTTAAATTATACTTCCGACGGCGATTCGAGGCGAATATGCAAAAGGATTAATTTGGGGTGGAAAATTCGTGTAAAAATATTTCGTTTCACGGTTTAACTTTGGATCGTCTCCACTTGTACGGTATTAGAAATTGAGGAGCAACTATTGAGGCACAGAATTGCTCGGGCAGGGCCGCTTTCAGTCGACAGAAATTATTTCCACCCTTGCAGCGTTCGAATCGCCGTTTCAAAGGGAGACGCCGGAGTCCATTCCTGCGTAAAGGCAGGTATTTGCCTCGTTCCGGACCCGGCCACGTTGTTCGCTTTATTCTTCCAGATTAAAGCGAGCGGCGAGATACGACCGTCCAACTTGCTGGCAGATACGCAACGCGCGAATACGTATCAACGGGTTGACTCCTTCTCAGGAGGAACTGCCTCGCTGATTTGCGAAATTTATTTGTAGAAAGTTTGCTCGTTAAAAGCATGAGTACACGCATACACACGCAGACACACACACACACACACGCACACATAAACCGGCGCAGTTTCGTCCGTTACCGACTCTTTTCACCTTCTCCCCTGTTGAAACAATGCTCGGAACGGACTGCCCGGCAGATAAGGTACCTGTTTTTTTTCACCGGTTCGTCCTGCGTTCGCATTTTTCTCCACCGTTTTTCCCGACGTGTTTCGGGAATGTTGCGCGAGAAGCGTACGATGCGCATAGAACAACCTAATGTTCAGACTTGGCTCGAATTCCGGAAGTTGTTGATAAATAACATGCAGCGTTAACGCAGTGGCTAGACGTTCGGTCGATGATAAGTAGTTTTCAACATTGGAAACTAACTATCGTTCGAAGAACAATCTTCTCCACGTTTAACGCGTTTGCTACTACGCGAATTTCGCGCTAGCTATAATTAATAAGTTCTTTTAACGCTGGTCGAGCGTCGGTCAACTCGTCGATGCTTGACCGTGTATTTTTACTTTTACTAGTCAGTGTAGTAGATGTTATATCCACCTACTTATTCAACACAATTTCTGTAATTAGCTCCTTCAAAAATCGTTCGTGAAAGAAAAGGAACCGAACGAGGACGCAATGAATCGACAGACTATTCACAGAGAGAAAGGAAAGGTGATTATATTTTCTCGTTAGCACGACGCGATGGCAGCTAATTTGCTTTTACACGATACTTACTTTGTTTCAAGTTATGTTTGAAGGTAGAATTCAAGGAATCGTGGAGAATTCTGAAAGATTTCGAGCAAAAACGCGCCGGATCGAGAGGACGACGAAAATTATCCAGAGAAGGGGGAGGAACAAAAAGAAAACAGGTACGACGGAGGGGGACACAGAGACTCGTTGTCTGCCAATATTATCGCCAGTCGTTATTGAAAATCGCTTCTGTTTTATGATATCGCGCCAGGTCCGTAATGGCTGCCACCGAGAACCAAGGAATTGCCAATCTTATCTGCAACGTATTAATGCCTAGCGGAAATTGCCTCTGTCGGGATCACCGGGGTACTTTCCGGCCTCCCGTTGTCGTTGTAAAAGCTCTCCTTCCTTCTGAGCTTTTGTCCTTGGCGCCGAGTCCCCGGTAACGATTGAAAATGAATTTGCAAACGCATCAAACAGGACATTTTGATAATTATTTTTTTTATTAATTAGCCAAGTTGTATAGAGTAAAAAGAAAGAAGCGATAGGGTAATTTATTGAAGCAAAGTCCACTGAGGAAGCGTAGACATTCCGGAGGTCGAGTTCTGCAAATCGAACGATGGGGTTCGGACAGAAGTTGCGTAAGAAGCGCGCAAACTACCAATAACCCAGGCTCGTGACTTTGCGAAAGAAAGGTTGAGGCATCTGGAGCTCGTTAAACGAGTCGCTTCCATCCTTGTCAAAGACCACGAACGCGTCGCTCGGAATCGTCTCACATATCATTTATTTATTCCAGGGCAGCGACGCAAAAGCGCAAACACGATTTTCTGCGAGTCGCTCTTTAAACGAAACAGAAACAACAGCTACCGAAAATAAAAACAGGAAACTCGAGGGATCAAGAGAGAAAAAGTTTCGTGGCAGAAAAGTTTTCGTCGATGCCTCTGCTTGAATTCTGGAAGCTCCACGCGCGTGTATCCGTCGTGCTTTTTCTTCTGTAACGACGACGTCGGTTTACATCGTGTCCCGTTCGAAAATGTACGTCGCCAATGTACTTCCACGCTTTGCGAAACTTTTTTACTCCGGAGCTCAATTTTCTGAGATGCCGTTGACAAAAGTCGCTATTCGTCCGGTGTACCTTCGTTGACCTAGTCTGCGTATTTCGATCGAAACTTCCATCCCCTACCCCAACCCTCTTCCATCTTCTCGATGCTCTCGCTACTGTCGAGGAGCTCGTCTCGTTCCGTTACCAGACATCGAATGCTAGAAAGCAGAAACGAAACCTTTTGAGTATCCGCTTTTTTCGAACTCGATTCTGACCCGTGCGATTTCGCTCCTTCAGTGTCTGGCCATTCCCAACCCTCTGCGAACATTTGCTCGAAATGTTTTCAACGAAAGTTAAATCCTTTGATTTCGCATCCTTAA